GAAAAACAGTGACAAGATGAGATTTTCAGGTTGAAATTTGTGGGCGAGAAACATTTGAAAATGGGTGAAGAAAGAAGACCAAATATCGTAGTGGAGTTGATTGAAGTGGAATCAATAAAGCAGGCAAGAAATAGTAAAAAGAAAAAATTAAGAGTAACATTTGAATTACAGTTGGCATGTGTAACTTTTATATTATATTATTTATATAAACACATCAATATATCTGACTTTTTAATCATCAATAAATAATAATCACTATGATTATAATTAATTTACAACACAATATAACAGTTGATGATAATCGTTGATTGGTTGGTAGAATAAATAATTTAGTACAATGATAAATAAATAATTCAGGTGTAATGGTAAATGTATTCAATTTTTAATGACAATACGGTTAAATTTTGGAATATGTATTTTTAGTTATTTTTTTTTAAAATATATTTATATTAAATATAGATAAATTAGAAATACAGAGTGACTTAGATGTTATATTTGTTTAATCGAATCAAACTGAAATATTTATTCGTATTTTTTTTGTATCGATCGTAGCATTTATTGCGCGATAGAACCGTAGATATTTCAGCAACTTAAACTGAGAGAAATGTTTTTTAAAGTACTCTATTTTTAAAACAATTTACTTTAGTATTTTTTTCATAGTTTAAAGTTTTTTTTAAGCTTAGAATAAACTGGTTTCATATTTAAATTAAAAAAATTTATCCTAGTTTGTTTGGAATTCTGTTTATGAACATGATATCAAAAACATTTATTATATTTAGTAGTCGTTACTTTGGAGAAAATTAATAGATTAACATTAAAGTTATTTGTTTTTATCAGATATTAGTAAGAGAAACTCAACCTAAATTTGTTAGTTAAACTAACAATGCTATTTCAATTCAGAAATTTGGTTCAAACTCGGTATAAACCACAAAGCCGCGGAATTTTTTACTATACAATTGAAATTCCTGGTTCATGGTATTCTCTAGATGAAAATAATTATTACTCATAAACGGTTTGACATTGTTAAATTTAGCCTTCATCGATAAAGAAGGTCCGTGGCCGGTAAAAATAGATTTCGTCTGATAACATAGTTCTCTATTCGTCGACTCTTTTACCGACAGTTGAGTCGATAACTCTTTTTGATTCTGTTGCATAGAAGTTCAGAGGACGGTTTAAAGATTTTCTGCAAGTTTGACATCATTTTGAATAATTAATATGCTCCGGACGTAATTAATCATCAATTTCCAACATTCATTAATTATGCCATGAATTAATAATTGTTTTTAACAATAAGAGTACCATGAATATTTATTGATCATTAAAATTTATATATAAATTTCAATCGATTGGTTAATTAGTTTAAACTAAAATACGAATGCATTTGAGTATTCACAATAATAATGATAAAATAATCAGCTCTTTTGTATTATTTTGTTATTTTAACGAAACAGATGTTTTTATAGCGTCAATTTTGATAACAGGGATTTGATTAAGTTGGATTATTTATGATAGATAAATTAGAGAATGTTTATGCGTGGGTGAGGTTGTATATTCAGATGGGTTAACAGGGCATAGTGGACTTTCTCTCGGCCATCTGTCGAGGGTGGAACCCCCATAGATTAATTGGAGCCCCTTGTATTGATCCGATAACGTTGCCACGGTTAAAAGATAGAGGGAGAATAATGGCTCGGAGCGGAAATAAATTTGAAAAAAGTAAATACAGCAGAAACACAAAAAAAATGAATAAAGACTTTATTTTATCGATAAAAGATTGTCAATAAGTTTCTAGGCGAAATTCTTTTTGCATTCGATTTGTTAAAATTGATATTTTCTAAAATGGAATTTTAAAACAATTTTTACTGAGAATAAAAAGGGGAAACTTTTTCGTAAGTTCATTGACCGCAATCCGTCTTAATGAGATTTTTTCTCCTCATTTTCATGAACATGTTGTGCGTGTTAATTGTGCGGTTGATAATTAAAAGTAATGTGGAGAGGAATTGAAATAAATGACTGAAAAAAAATAATTAAAAAATGATAGATATATGAAAAGTGATGGTATTTAATATCCTACGGTGGGTATATATTTTTAATGAAAAAAATTGAGATATACAAGCACAAAAAATCTTGTGAATATTTTTGCATGAAATAAAGAATCTAATATATTTATCTACAACTATAGAGAAATCGAAAAAGAAAATATTTTTGTTCTCTAAAAGAGCCGAGACAACAAACAGTACACATTCTCGTTCTCTAGATGCTATTTTTTTAACATTAACATATATTAATATCAATTTACAAAAGTGCTTGAAAAGAAAAAACAAGAAAAACAACTATTTTAATTACCACAAATCTATATTGTATAATTCTATTTATTTTTCTACACAGATAGTACTCTCACGTTTTGTAATTTGTTATAAGAAATCCCATCCGTCTTGACAATAATTTGGCACACTTGATACAAAGAATAAATGTTATTCAATTTGGTCATTTTATTAATTTTTACACTGAATAAATAGGCAAGGTAGAGTTGCGTATTGTGTCGCCACCTAGTGTACGTGCCCTCAACATGAACCAAGGGTTGCTTCTTCTCCCTCTCACCCTCTCTATCGACGAATCTGGCCAACCCCTTTTCTGAATCCTCGCAGGAGCCTCGCCCGATCTGCTAATCAATTCATCCCTCCACGACTTTCACTTTAGAAAATTTACCAAATTTTCACTTAATTCTCCCAAACATCATTTACCAATGAACACAATAAATCAACGATCATTGATCAAATTCATGGACAATTTATAATTTCACATATCCACCAACAACATCTAGGAATATTTAATAACCTGGGGACGCTTCCATATTGAACGAAAGTGACTGAAATCGTTAATCAGAATATAATAATATTCATCAGCATGATATTTTTTGAATGTACACTCCTCCCACCCATGAGGGAGTCGTCCTTATTATGAACCCTCTCACTTAGGATATACATTCGCTTGTTCACTATTACATCCATTTAATTTGCGTGGGTGGAGCGCGTGCTCGGCGAATGTCGTGCTTTTCCGTTAGGGTGGCGACAGGAAGGATTTTTTTTTGCCAAGTACAAATTTTTCATATTTACTTAGTTTTTATTGTTTTACATTATCTTCTCTTTCTCTCGCTCTCTCTCTCTCCCTTTCTCTCATGCATTCAATATGTTACTAATAAAATGTCTTTAGACTTTGACTCAGGCAAATGGTTTGCTCGTATCAAATATCACTGAAACATGGTCACTTGCCACTCATCTGCCAAACAGTGAAATTGGACTTGAAAGCTCTTGGGTTTGATGATAATGATGAATCGCGGACAATGTCCCATCACACCAGTATCTTAAATGTGTACTGCTGTGACAGGACAATATCCACGACGCCATCACGTTTTTTTGATGAAAGCTCCAAGATGTCGCGCAAAGTCCACGAAAGTCATGATTCGCGGAAGGTTCGATTTCTGAAGCGACCCGGTCAAGTGTTCCGACGGCACTGCGTCGCTCGCTGGCGATGTTGCCCCTGCGCACCCTTCTATCATCCCCACTTTGGATTCTCGCCGTCCTGGCAACGCAAAGGGAGCGCCACTGCTCTCGATAGGGGTGTAAAGGAGGGTAAAACGGAACGCAACACCCCCAAGCGGCCAACGAGATATAGCAACTGAAGACCAGAGGGTCGAGGGTGCTGGAGGGTGTATTGATCCACCAGCTGCGTACTCTCTCACCCTCTCTGACTCTGCCCATAAGCACAAGCCGCAGTGACTTGGCCATACCGGCCTTCATTCCTTCAAGACGTTTTCTACGACTTTCTTAGACACCTTTGCTTCCTTTCCACATCACCATGTCCATCGATTTTTAACTATCTGTCCAAAATTATTTCTCCTAGCTCCACCTTCATTATTAAATCATTACTTTTCCCCATTAATGCCATTGGAAGATGATGGATTATAAAAAAGTAACGACTGGTCTAGTTAATTATTCACCAACTATTGAATCACACGACAAAGAAAAGTAGAACCTTGTTTGATTATTATTTTACAGTTTTTTCTGTTTGTTAATTTGGTATATTCATATAACTAAACATAGTTATTATGCTGATAAAAAACTACCAATGTCTGACCTACTAACTATGATACATTCTTGTGTAGTTTTTGTATTTTTTAATTAGAGAGTTTGCTAGTTAGCAAATAAGGTCTTAAAACAGTTTCAGAGTTAATAGAGGGTGATAATTAATAAAAACTTTTTTTTATTTCTCCACCTACTTCTGTCATCTAGGAAGATAACGGATGCCCGTTGGTGAAGGAGGAAACGGCACTCGGTGGTGTGATTCGATTATCCTCGTCTATCTCTCACCCCTTACTGTATTTATTCAACTTCTCTTTCAAAGCTTCTCGGATTTAAGGACCATCCATTTCCGCAAATCGAAACGCACACCCGTCGTCTTTCTATTTCTCTTTTACACGCTCATAACGCGTAGAAATACTCTAGCATAAAAATAAAAGCACATACCTTTAGTCTCCGTGGGCATCTGAGATCAATGAACGTTGGTTTGGATGTCATTTCAAATCGATGACGACCAATCCTATTGATAAATTTTATTTTATTTTTTGACCTTTGCATTTTAAAACCATCTGTGATTTGACACATAAAATACATATTTACTGAACGTCAATAGTAGTGACAAAAAGCCGTTGATATCCAGCATACATTGCCCATGCAGCAGCAGCGAGTTTGATAATTGGAAGTGGTAGAACCTATGAAAATAATTTTAGATTTTAGATTTATTATATGATGAAAATAATTGTATTATCAACTTTGATGAATTATAATAATACCTTGAACAAATGTTAGATTAGTAAAGCTGCGCTTGGATTTGCAGTTAAAAGTAAAAATAGTGCATTCTATGATCACTAATTAAATCGAACCAAAAGCAAAAGTTAGTTTGAAAATAAAAATGAAAAGTTGTAAATTGATTTTGTGTTTTAGCGCCGGCATGGAGGCAGCGAATGGAGCAATAGACCACGACTTTCACAATGCATTAGTTCCAATCAACGGTAGCCATTCAGGGAGCTCCGGAAGGAGTACTCCAAATAGTGGAGATCCAGCACCGGGAAAACTCTTTGTTGGTGGGCTTTCATGGCAAACTAGTAGTGAAAAGCTGAGAGAATACTTTGGAATGTTTGGTACAGTTACGGATGTACTAATTATGAAGGATCCAGTCACACAGGTAGGATATTATTCAAGATAATAGATTTATAATGAATTGCATGGAATTAGAATTGATTTGTATGTTCAAATGGGGGTTGAATATTTCAGCGAAGTCGCGGATTTGGATTCATCACATTTGCCGAACCTGGAAGTGTCGACAAGGTTCTCAAGTGTCCAATTCACACTTTGGATGGTAAGAAGATTGACCCGAAGCACGCGACTCCTAAGAATCGAGCTAAACAAGCGAATCGAACGAAAAAGATATTCGTTGGTGGTGTAAGTCAGGATACCAGTAGTGATGAAGTTAAAGCTTATTTCAATCAATTTGGTAAAGTTGAGGAAACCGTAATGTTAATGGATCAGCAAACTAAACGACATCGGGGTTTTGGTTTTGTTACGTTTGAGAATGAAGATGTTGTTGACCGAGTTTGTGAGATACATTTTCACACGATCAAGAATAAAAAAGTTGAATGTAAAAAAGCTCAACCTAAGGAAGCTGTTCAACAAAGTGCGCTGGCTCTTGGCAAAAGGGTAGTTCTGGGAGCTTTAGGAGTACGTTTAGCACCCCAACCACCTCTTCAAGTTGCAACGGCATCACAAATCGTTGCTGCACAAGCTCAAGCTCAAGTACAAGCTGCAGCAGCTGCAGCTGCTGCTGCACAAGTTCAAAGTGCCGTTGCGGGCTATGGAAAGCTTTTTGCCTCAAGCTACCCAGCGCTTTCTGCATATCGATATGCACCATATCCTATTCCAGCGGCTGCTGTAGCAGCACCTCCTGCTGCTGCTGCACCACCGGCTGCTGCCACGACTGCGGCACCAACAGCTGCAGGTGCTCCTGGAAATCCGTATCAAGGCTACTCCCTCACTAATGTCGATATGTCAAGTTTCCAAGGTGTAGATTGGGGTTCCATGTATGGTATGGGCATGTACGTCTAAATTTGTTTCAACTTCCAATTTCTGCTCATCAATTTTTGGACCAATTACCGCAATTCGGGCAGAACTGATTATAGATCTCAGATTCGGATTCAAGTCTGATTTTTTTTTCGTCTTTCTTCGATATAATTAATTAATTTTCATATCAACGAGGCTTGATTTTAAATTCCTAAATTTTACTCTCATTTAAATCATAACAGTTTCTTTTTTTTTCTTTATCTGGAGAATTTTTAATTATTATTTTTTTTTCTTTTCCACAAAGAAATTCTCCAATTTGTCGTATTAAATATCACTTGAAAAAAACCATTAAGCAATACATTCTGATAATTAAAGAGAAGAAAAAGAGAAAGAAAATTAAAAAAAAGAAGGTTGAATAATTGAATAAAGTGGCGCAGTAAATCGACTGTCAATATTTATGAATAAGTAATAATAATTATATGAATAATAGTATTATATATTTTTTCTTTCGAAAAAATGGAAGACAATATTTCTCTGCTCTCCATCACGTTAGGGTCTTAATAACGTTATAATTATTAAATAAATAATTAATTAAATAATAATGAATAACAATAAACAGTACTAATAGTAATAACAATAAACAATAATCAATGATATTAATTGAAAATAAACAAATCAAACGGCGGCAGGTCGCGCACGAATACAATTATTAATAAAAATTAAGACACAGTAGAATGATTAAATTGTATTGTTACACTCTACAATTTGTTCTATTTTTATTAATAGTTAAGATCAAATTGTTGAGTGTAATAAACATTCTATTCGACTAATCGAAGGTGAGATATTTCGAGCAATAAGCAAGTTACTCAACTATTTATCTATTATTAATTATTAAGTAAAAATTAAAAAATGATGCATTAGCTGTATTCAAACAATATAAATAATGGCAATTAATTGTCAAAATAATTAATAATAATAATTTAATCGAGTAAAAAAAAAGGAATACAAGACGAAAATACAATATGGAAAATCATTTTTTCCAAACAAATAATATCGCTAGTGATATATAATTAATAATTGATCGTTTGATTGATAAAATAATTGAATAGGATTATCTAATTAAAAAATAATGATAATTGAATAAACAACAAGTGCGAGTGATATATACTATAGGTATTTAATATACATAAGTTATTAATAATAATTATTATTATTACTCGCAACTCGAGTATTATTAATTTATAATTAACTAATTAATTCATTGATTGTATACATATTCTCAAAGTCATCACTAACTATACGTACTTATGATTGGCTTGAAAGGCCACTATGAGTGAGATTAATGTGGAGAAAATCAATTTGTAAAATCGAATGAGTGTTTCTGTGTGCTCTTTTTTCATGTCTTGGTATTAAAAATATCGATTATCGATCAATAATACCTTAACTCCCAATATCCACATGACTGAAATCGACATGACGGACTATTATTTATGAAAATTAAATTATTTTTTTATATACATAATGAAACGAAAAAAAAAAAAAAATGAAATTTAAATTATCTTATTATTTCTTTGTTATTTTTTTGTAATTTCTTTAATTTAAAACAAAATTTTTCTTTGTTTTTCAACAATTATCTCCCGCAATACTATCCTCTCCATTCATCTGTTATTCTTTAGTTTTTGACAGTAATATGTAGATTAGAGCTAACAATTTTAGAGCGATGCGTAAAAAAATATGATACATATTAATATTAAATATAAACTATTTTTTTGGTATGCAATGAAAGTAGCATGCTAAATTTATCCATCGATTATCTGGTTTTCCGATTCTTTCTTTATTTAATTTATTGTATTTTTATTTTCATTATTATTATTATTATTATTTTGATTTTTTCTTTACTATTCTTTTTTTCCAGTAATCACGTTTTGATTTAATACTTTTCTATTACACTTCTTTTATTTACTATTGTAATTAAAACCTGTAAAAGTAAAACTTTTGTGGACGTGGAGATTGCAGAATTATTTGTATTGTAAAAAAATTGTACTTTGCTAGATATTAGTATTATTTTCTAAAATTGTGCATTAGTACCATTATTAATATTATGTTATTGTCATTATAATTATCATAATTATTATTACTATCAGTTATATTATTATCGTATTATCATTATTATACTTATTATTATATTATTATTAATATTGTTATTGTAGCTACACAAACACTTAAATGCAGACATTAGACATTATACATTGACAATAAAAATTAAAAATTTTTTAATTTATTTGTCAAAAGTCAACACACGTTCTCGAAAAAAACAAACTCTAAAGTTAAATAAGTCTTTGTTTAATTTTTTTTTTCATTAAAATATTTATTTTTTAAACACGATCGATCGTATAGGGTGTCCCTTGTGAGCAAAGGGGAATTGTTAAGTATCATTCCCTATTTGATGCGCGCGTCGAGTTTCTTGTAGACACCCAGAAAAAATTCCTGTATTAAAGCTTCCATCTAAGTATCTTCCATATTGTCTTTAAAAAAGAAAATAAATCTAAGTAGGGAAGAAAGAAGAATGGATTTTTAATAATCTTCAATGTAAACTGAATATTATCATTTTCAATTGTTTCGATTTCTTGTATATAAATGGTAAAAGAATATGACAGGAGGGGAAAGAGAGAGAAAGTAACATAAGAAAAATGGAGGACGTGGGTTGACTTGATCTAAAAATGTTATTGAATTATTTAACAGTCTTCTGAGTCTACTAGAGAGTATCATGACAACACATACGACACGATACGATACATAACGTAAAGTACAGTAGATAGTATAGTCTCTAACACTTTACAATGACACGAAGCAGTAAATTTAGGTCGATGCCTAGTGAAATTGCCAATAAAGTAGTTTACTAGTAGCTAACCTCTGTGTATCATCCCTTGTATCATCTTTACCCCGAATACATTGATGCATTCTTCAATTTGATATTTCTGTATTTAGTAATTTAGACCTAACTCTTTCTTTTTTCCTATAGTTGATCTTTTAAACGTTGATTAAACATTGCATGCAAAAATTTATCTTTTTATTTACTCACTAAAAAAATGTTTGTGTCATCATGAAAATTTTTTATGATATTTTATAAGATTTATTAGTTAATAATAATTCTTATCGATAACAAAAAAAACATGATGATAACAACTATCAAATATTGAAACAAATTTGATGTTTAATGAACGATTAAGGGATAAATAGTTTTTTTTACTAAATTTTTTTTTAATTAGAGAATAGTAATAAAGACTATTTGATGTATTGAAAAAATGTCTAAGGTAAAAATATCGCAATTTAGCCAATTTTATGGGTTATTTTGGTAATTTTATTTTAGAAAGAGATTTTTTTTTATTCGTTTTTGGGTGCTGTGTTTGCGACATTGGCCTGTGTTTCGATGCCGAGTAGACTGTGTTACATTCCAAGCTAATTGGCTTATCAATATTAATTCCAATTAGCTTGGTTCAACCCTACAAAATTCGTTCTACGCTTTCTGGTTAGTTAAACTAACCAAAAAAAAGTAACTTTACATTAGAAAAATTTTCTTTTTTTCTTTATTTTTATTTACTTTCTTGTTTAATCAATTTATATCTTTTTTTTTTTTGTGTATTATTAAGTGCGGTAAGGCGTTTAAGAACAGCAGGAATTGTGTAGAGCATGCATTAGATTCTAGACTTTTTAACAAAAATAAGATAAAATTATTTTCTTTTGCTATATAAAATACCCTAGACCAATAAAAAAAAACTAACGTTAAATTTAAAAATGTGATTGAAAAGAAAAGATCTAAAGCTCTTAATATTTTATTTAAAAAAGAATATTATAATTTTATTAAAAGTTGACAAAAATTTAATTCAAACTCTTTAAAAAGAAAAAGGAACAACTTTTAAAATTAATTATATAAATTAAATATTGAACAAAGGATATTTTTTTAACTCTTTTCTAGAAAGAAAAACTTTGCTTTAAAATAATTCTCTAACTTCATTAAACAGTTAAGTAGTTATTTAACTTATTGAATAATTAAATTTCGAATTGGATAAACAAAAAAGAAAATATCATTTTAATTCAAATTTCTAAAAATAATTCTTGTAAATACATATCTAAATGTGAAGAACAAAAAAAAAGAGAGAGAAAAGTGATGAAATCTCTCTTAATTTATCATATTTACACAACCTAGACTCTAAAAAAGCTTGGAGGCAAAGTAGATAAAAAAGCTCTTTAAAAAGTTGGTAAACTGTTTGATTCTTACGTCTCTGTTTGGACACACTACCCGAGTGCCTTAACTATTCTTTTACAAAATTTTCTTCATTAATAATAACTAAAAAGAGTATTTAAAGAAAAAACAAAAAACTCAATGAAAAGAACAATGCAACCAATTAGATCATCAACCTTAGTATGAAAAAACAAAAAACGAGAATCTCATAATTAATCAGGTAAGAGTTAAATTTTCCTGTAGAAAATGTAGATTATTAGTTAATTAGATGTAGAAATGGCTTTTATAGCAGTAATCATGAGTCTGTGTCTTATTCCTCACGTAGTGTGTCTATGCTGCTCGAAGTATGGGTTAGGACCCTTCATCGTTGGATATTATTGCAGAACATGAAACGTGGATGGTCAAAAATGCAAGAAGAAGTGGGAAAAAAAATTGACAAAAAATCTTCTCAATGCGGATTTTTTTAGCACCAAAATATTATAGACAATGGCGTCTTTCTCATGAACAGCACGATTTTAATTAATTAAATTTGTAAATGAAATATTCCCAAACTTATTACATATATTTTTTGATTTTTTCACGAGATGTGTTAATTTATGTGTGGTTTATGTACTAGAAAAGACGCCAACGATCGAAATCATTGGGAAATTTATTTTCCTGGATGAATGCCAGGTATTTCTGAGTAGATTAAACCACCGAGGGTGCACTTTGCATGTGTAAAGGAACGCTGCACTAACTGACGGCATCCCTTGCCTGATTGTAAGCCACTTTGGCATTTAGCATGGTAATTAATGTCGAGGGAAAGAGTTGTAATTAGTCGTTTTGCTAGAGTATTTATCAGGATTGCATTATCAATATTATTATCATTGACGTTTGTATTTTACTGACAATGAGAGTGAGAAATTCATATTTCGGTCAATTTCAATGAATGGAGAGAAAATGTTAGGGAAATAGTCAGGGGTGAGATTAATGTTCTAAGTTTGTTTTCAATCATCAACAACAAAAAATTCATTTTTCCTATCATCTTCTAGTCATTATTTATTTATTTATGATAAACAATGAATACAGTTTCTAGGTAATATTAAATAACTTTTTAATAAATAACATAATTATTTTAGAACATTTATCTGCCCCTTAAAAAAATATAGTAAGTGTTTTTGATCAACAGTAGACTTGGGACCGCAATCCTACATTTAATATAAAATAATTAAACATTTCTACAAACTCGTCAAATAGTAAATGAAAAAAAAAAAAAAATTACTATTAAAACCGGTAATAAATCCGGGGATTGTTCTTCCAGTACGATTATATTTAAAGAAAAAAAATTACTTAATAATAACGGGTTTTACGATCTAGTCGTTAAGAAAAGTTTCAATGGTGCGGATTCTACGGATTTTGTGGCTTATGGGATATATTACACGCACCAATCAAGCAGGAGGAAATTTAATCAGGTAAAATTTTTATTCGTGTCAATTCACTTTGTGGAGTAGTGTAGAATTTGAAAAAGTTAAAATTTTGATATAGACTTGAGTCAATTTTAAAACAAAAAAAATTAAATATTAACAACAAACCTACAAATAAAATTAAATGAATGAATTATCATTAATTATAATAAATAGTGTATTAGTGGTGCGGTATAACTTGTACACAAATCCGTTGTGTTTCGTATCTTGAAAATTAAATATCCTGCTCCATTTTTTCGTCCCCAATTTTTTTTCATCACTCTGTACTTCCTCCCCTTAAAAGTAGATGTATTTGTAAATAAATATTTCACGTAAACGTGCGATCATATCATTTTTTATTTTTTTTATTTTTAGTTGAGATAATAGAAGAAAGGGAGATTATAAGTGTTCGAATATTTTGTTTTATATTCTTAAAAAAATACTTTTTATTCAATTAACTAATAAATTATTTATTTATATTTTAATAGATGTCTAGTCATTACTAATGAAACTCAAAAACATTCCACTAAAACTTGGAACTAATAAATATGAGCATAGTCATTAACTGCTCTCCTTTTCTCTAATTCTCAACTAGTCACGTGATTGTAAATAATCTAAACAATGGTATATCAATAAAATATGACATAATATATTTTTTCAATCTTATCGAAACACTCGTTGAGAATCGAAAAAAAAAACCCCTATTTGATTTACCCCTCATGTGATTCTCAACTTCAAAAAACAAACTTTTTCTGATGGAAACAAGTGAGAAAGAAAAAAGATTTGATAAAAGTATTTATTTCTTTTCATAAATCCTGTTCCCATGTGCCTAGGAGCATAAAAAAAATTTTCTTTGTATATAAATTTATTCAGAGAAAAAGTCAAATATAGTGAAAATGTTTTAGTGTATTCACGAAAAATGATAAAAAAAATAATAATGACACTTAACAATAATAACTATGTCTAGATTAATTTAATATCGTATCTAGAATGAATATGTTGATGTTCAAAAAATAAACTTTACAAAAAATTCATAAATAAATGAAAGGATAATAATTAAAATATGAACAATAATAAATGATAATCATCACATTATTATATAAACATTTTGAATAATAATAAATACAAAAGAAAAAAAAATTACTAAAAAGTGGGAATTTTTTGTAAAGACAAATTTTTCGTAACTTCAAATTAGCTTAAATAGCATAGCAAAATCATAATACGTGATAAGAAGATAATTTACCACTAATATCATTAGCTTGTACGTAAAAATAATCCATTGTAGTATTTTTTGAGTTATCATATGCCATGTTTTAGTGTGAAAATTGTCCAGTTTTACCAAAGAAAATAATAAAAAAAAAAAAAAATAATAACAACTAAGCACTAATAATAAATGTTCTAAATAATATTACTTTAAAGAATAAAAACTAATTCTAGTCATTTATAACAAAGTGAGGATTACTTGTCAGAATAAAAAATATTAAGACAGGGCAATTTTCTCACTGTAGTCATTATTTGAATAATTTGTATAACAAGTCGATCATTATTATTATTCTTATTAATTATGTACTGTAATTAATTAATTATTAATTAATTAGTAAACTGTGTAAAAGGTTGATCTGTGTATTATATGTTATTTGTATGTGCAAAAAGCTTCGATTTTAGCACACACCAAGCCCGCCTTTAAAAGCATTAACCACGAGCAACGACTAATTTATTAATCGTGATATTGTGATTGACGAACAATTTTTATTTTCGTTGCTCTATGGTCAATCTTATGTTCGCAGCTAGATAGTCAGTCGAAAAATAGTGATGTACGTAGTTTATAATCGTAATTTATTTTATGGGTTATATAAGAATACATTAATTAATTAATTAATTAAGCATAGTAATATGAAAAATGCTAGAATGTTTCTACGGTGGAATGGTGTTGATTTGATGAGATAATGAGAATGGAATTAAATGAAAAGAGGGAGAGAAAGAAGAAAATTGAGCGAGAGAGAGGGAGAGAAAGGGATAATAGAGCGAGAGAAAATAAAAGGATAAATAGTAGTAGAAAGTGGGAACAAGCGAAAGAGAGATGCCGAGACCACCGTCTTTTCTACAGGTAAACTGGTTTATTGTACCTGTTGTTGTTGAAAACATATTAAAAATACTCTTATTCCATGCTAATATTGCTTCATATATTTCATAATACCTCGTTTATATCCTTTTTAACATTTTTATCCTTCACTAAAATCATCAACTGGCACACAAATTGTCAATCATCTGTTATCATTTCATTTTTTCATCAATTAATAAGGTGCTTTATCCATGTGGAATTGAATTAAATTTAAGATAGATTTATTTGTTAATACTATTTGATGACTATTCTCAATGTGATTCAAAAGAAATATTGTTTGCTAGTTGAGTGATTTTAAAGTGTATTTTTTAGAGTTGAAGAAATTTTTTATTTATATATATAATTGATCCTTTATTTATATAATTAATCATCAAGTTTTAGATTGGCTTATTCCTGAAGAGTATTCAACACATAGTCAAGTAGAAGTTCGTAATAAAAGCAGAATAGACTCTGCTGTATTATATACATATGCCTTTCATTTTTCTACCTACATTCTTCCTACTGCTCCTTTTTCCACTTATTGATTTTTACTTGATACCTTTTAATTAATTAATATTAAAACCAATTCGAACAGAGAACAGACATTAAATGAATCTACACCATGAAATAATAATGACTAGTCCAAGGAGAAGAGGAAAAAAAACCCCAAATTTAATGGTGAGACTGTAAAAAAAAATTACTAAGATTTGGAAAACTGCCTAGAACGTTTAAAAAAATATATTATAGTAGTTAGATAAAACCAGACATACTTGAAATTAAATTAAATTTCTTATGTATTTCTATTACTCTTATTATTATTATTATTAATGTTAGTAATGATGATGAAAATAGATATGTAAAGTATCTAGTGATTATTCTTAGTGATTTTGGGCTATTTTTTTGTCTATAATTATTGCAAGTATTTACTAAGCTAATCTTAATCTATTACCTTATCCATGACCTAAAAATATCTTCAACGAATTACAACGACATTTAGTACTTGAGTACTGAACAAAAAAAAATTAATTGAAGAAAGAAAATTAAAATGTCGACTTTATGACCAAGAAATGATCAAAGACTTATTTTATTACGTCAGGTTGGACTTTTAGTAAAGATAAAAAATAATAAATAAAACAGAAAATAAAAAAAAAAGAAACTAAACAATCAAAATGATATTTGATGAAGTTAAATAAAATTTATATGTATAAATAAAATAAATTATAGGAATGAATATAAATAATGAAATAAAAAATATATGTTATAATGAATATTTATCATAAGTTATAGGAATGAAAAATTTGGCGACATGTAAGTGCTTTTATATATGTTTAATCAAGTACAAATTGTACATAAAAGTAAAATACAATTAAGTAAAAATATTAAAAGTAATTATTGGGTGATTTAACTTTAGTAGTTTTGAGGTCAAGAGATGAAACAACAAAAAAAAAATTTACATTCCAAAGTAAATGCAAATGTAGTTATTTTGATGTCTCTTTAAGTCGTTTGATACTTCAGACCTTAGAGACTCTTAACGTCACCTGAGTGATTGTCAACTCAATTGGTCTTGGTCGGAAGAAGACAAAAGTGGGTGTGACTACTATGTGGATCTGAGAAATAATATCAAGATGACTCGACAGGGGGCGTACGATCGATATTATGAACCCCTGGGGCACCGATATCATCCCTCAATGGATTTAAGTTTTTCCCTCCATCAACCCCTCACCAAATGTCCCAAATTTCCCACTCCTTCTCTTATCATAATGTTACGATTATGCTATGCAATATTGAACTCATTAGATTTTTTTTCCTTCTCTACTAAATTTTGAATAAATTGCTCACATAGAGGGTAAGTACAATTTTTTTATAGAACGTTAGATTTTCATAAGTAATCATTTATAATAAAAAAACACTACTTGGGATTGATTGTTGAAATAGAAAAGATCATTTTGTTGATACATTGATAGTGAAAAGTATGAGTTTAGATACATAATAGTATTTTTGAGTAGATTATTGGATAAACTTGGAGAAAATATAGATTAAAAATGATTGATGTATTATAGAAAAGTACATCAACGGTGATTGAATAATATTTTATTAACAATAAATGATGAATTTATTAAGCTACACATATCTTTTGATATTCACATATAAACTTTGCTGGAAAATGTTTTGAATTTATTATTATTAAATAAATGAACTTAATCACAGTATATTCATCATAATGACATTAAAGTTAGATTAATGAAAATATTGATTAACTACTTGATACTTAAATCAATACTAAAAATGTCAAAGAATTTTCCTGAACAACAAAACACACCCTCATTTTATATAAAATAGAATGCAATAGTTTTTTTACATAAGCAAAGTGAAAGATTTGAGAGAAAAAGGTATATCTTTTGATAAACGAGTTTTGTGAAATAGCAAAAAAGAAAATATTCTTTAAACTAAAAATTATGTAAAAGACTGCACAAGTATTTACAGAGAAAAATTATAATGACAATGGGGTATTTTAAACATTTAATTTTTCGTGTAATTTAAATTCTTTATACTTGAATATTTGATGAATAAAATATGAGACTTGACTATTTTATTTTGAACTTTAGATTTAAATTACTTACATAAAAATCTTTTATCAAAATTACAACTCTTTAAAAACCTTTAAGTATAAATCTTTGTAAACTAGAGTTACCAAATGATTGAAAAAAATGTGTTTCATAATATTTCCTTTTAAACAGACGAACAAAAAGCAGCATCTCTTTCATGAGAATTCTATAAATAAAAAAGGAAATAACAGCTTGATGAATCCATCTGTTTATTTGCGAAGACACGGAAGCTTTCATGCTATAGATCGGCATGTAATTCTGTGGATAGCGTGATCTAAAAGCATCTCAATAGTGTTTTATTATCTATAGGTCCTAAAGAGAAATATATTTTTTTATAAGAATGCATATCTTAGATATTCAAAAAGAAACAAAAGGAATACAATAAAAAAGTAAAAAAGTAAAAAAGTAAAAAAACATGAATTTACGATTGAAAAGAATGACATGGAAAAATTAATAAAATTTAATTAAGATCAAGCTTTTAAGAAGTTGTTTTAGCTTTTGATCCATGAGTTTTTTTTTCTACTGAATAACTTACTTGGAATGCGAGGAACAACCTGAGTACTTTACTGGCGTCTCAACTTTTTCCACTTCACCCTCAACTCATCCCCTATACCTGTGCTTTCAAGTTCCCTCAGCCGCGGTCCGAGTTACATAATGCAGTCGGCCGTATTGAATATTTTTCCCAGGTAAAGTAAAGTGATAAAGAAATCCTCCGGAAGCTTCTCAGGCCTCTAACATTTTTATAAAAAAATATTGAAACTAACATAATCTAAAAAAGACCAGCATTCTTATATTCCTCTGTTGAATTTTTTCACATAAAAAAAATTATTATCCGGATGAATTTCTTTACAGAAAAGCTACATGATTAAAAACCCATGCAATTGTATAAGAATATTGTGCTTTTACACTAAAAGAATTTTATTTAATTTTCATTAAAGAAAATGATAAAATATCTGTCTTTTAGAATATCATTTTTTCTATTTAATTTCAGTTCTTATTAAAAAAACAATGACATTTTTAATATTGAAATTAAATATGTAATTAATTTTTAATTATTAACGAATTTAATTAAAAATTGCAATGATTATTTATTATGAATAAAGATGATGTAGATTTATCGTGATGAATATTTATTAGCAATATTTTTTGTGGATAAATATTACTTATAACCATCAAGAATTAAATGCGAAATAGAGACGAGAAAATGTATGTGGATATTCAATATTACTTTAGAAAGCTCATAGGACATATAGGTGATGCTTTTCCAGTGAATCTGCAGTCTTCCAACGTCGGAATTTACGAAATTTACTGGCCTGTCGTTTCCAGACAGGTTATAAAATTGCATTCGCCACAGGGGATAGGCACAGACCATGCAACTTTCATCTCCCGAGTGTATGTGCCTAGCTAAATAAAATATTGTTTCAGAAAATAGTCTACGAACATTTCAGACAGTTGCTAAATTTTTTTCACTATTTTCGACCATTTTTCTCTTATTTTTTTTTGTTTCAAAAAGCAAAACTTTTTCTACACTGAAGTTTATGCCCTTTTTTTTTTTTAGTTTTCCTTCCATTCTACTGATGACGGAGGGTTGTAAACAGCCCTTCATTAGCCTCATCATGTCGTCCCCAGCCTCTTGAATCTCAAGAAAACATGACTCAGTCGATAATAGGAATTTAGATAGTCTATTATCAGCTCTTGAGGTATCGATTTAGCAGATAGTTTTTGTTTCTGTGCACGAACTGTCTTCCTTCTTTTCTTTCTTTTTTTTTTATCATAGACTTTCTGAGGGGAAGAATAAATTTCTTTTCATTTTCGCTGAGAGAATGAGAGAGCAGATGGTAGACAAAAATAATCTCGGGTGTGGTTATTTGCTTGTTATGTAGTATATGTTTGCACTCACAGGATTTTTGAGGTACACAAATGATAAACTGCCAGTCAAGGGTTTCTAACTTTTGAACAATTGGAGATAAGGAATGATATATTTTCTGAAAAGATGCATACTTTTAAAAATATTCAACTTTATGAACTAAAAGGGGAATATATTTCTCACGAAGATTATTATTTCTCGGCTATAGACTCAGCAGGGTTACTTTCGGAGGGTAGTTTATGATATTCATAAAAGGTATCAACTCTTTTCCAATTAAAACTATTATTCACAGATATCTAGGTTATTGATTCTTAAATAAATTTCTTTAATTTATAGACACTGAAATTTCTGCTTTTTTTTTATAATGATAACAAATCAGAGTTTTATACAATAATTGTATAATAAGATATTATTTAGTTGAATAATAAAGATAAATAATGAATTAATAAATGAAAACACGATTCATGCAGACATGTCATAAATTGGCTTGGGAACAATAGATCACTTAATATTGTTCCCTAAATGGAAACAAATTTATTTGAATACTGATATCAAATTTAAATTTATCAATTAATATTCAACAGTTTTTTATTTGATTAAATTAAAGTTTACTTTTTAGTTGGAAATTTTGAAATAAAATTGGATTATTTTTATGAGGAATATTTTTGAGTATCCTCTTGAAATAAATCAGTAATTGCATTCGGCATTAATAGTTAGTGAATAGTCACTGACTTTCTATACTTTTCATTGACCTATTTTAGAAGAATACCTACATACTTTACAATGAAAAACAAGGTTTAATTTTAATAATAAAGAAGATGAAATTTATCTAAAATAAAAAATATGCAAATGTTGTTATCAAGAATAAAAATTGCTGAGTTTTTTCCAAGCCAAAAACGCATTTCCAAAAATATTATCACGGCTACGAAGATTCACAAGATTTATTATAGACATTGGAATACACGAATCTCTACTGCATATTAAAACACAGTCATAAATTTTAGAGACTACAATTCCGCATTTATTTTACACAATGACAGTAGTACAGACAAGGATTTGGTCAGACAGGTAAAAAAATAATCTCCTGTTTTAACCGACGAATGGTATATCCTTATCTCGAAAATAACCTCACTCAATTTCAATTCAAAAGTCCAAAAATGCTACGAGAAGCTGGCAAGTAGAAGAGCAGAGAAAGTGTTGATACAAAAATCCATGTAACGTGAAATAACTCCTCAACTCTCGTGTTCACCCATTCATGGTGCGTTACGATTGGGTTTCATCCAACTGTTTTATTATAATATATATATTTTAAAACCTTTTCTATCAAGAAAAAAATCCCTCATAATAGACAATTGATTCAACCTTCAGAAGTAAGTAGAAACCGTAATATGAGCGATTTATTAATAAAAGATATATGAAGTAAAATCTATCTTTAAATTTTTAGATGAAAAGTATATTTACTAAATGCTGAATAAAGTTAAAAAACTTATAAATAAATATACGAGAAAATTGAGTTTATATGAATATAATAGCATAATAAAGCACAAAAAAATCACTTTCCAACTCCTTCTGATATCCTAATAACGAAACGCGCAGTCGAGATTTCTTCGTAATGAAAATTAGAATTCTTTTACTTTGGAGGTTGTCACATTCATTTTTTACTCAACGATGATTCTTATTTCATATTTTTTTTATACCTTTCTATACAGTTTTTTTCACTAAATAATAAATAAAATCAATATTTCAACAATACTATATCACGAATCAGCTTTGAAGCTGCATTTGGGTGAAAAAATAAATATAAAAAATGGGAAGTTTAGATTTTTGTAAATTTTATCGCAATTATTATTATTTTTTTGTCTTTGTTTATAATGTTAAAATATTCATTTTTAAGCCCTTATTAATTATTAAATTAATTATTAAAACTCACCTCCCAGTGTTTCATCAATTTCTTTCTAGTATAAAGACCATATTTAAATAGTTTTATTACATCAAAGAAACTATTTAGTGGAACATCGTCATAAGGAATCGTTTTTTTAAACTTTGACATTGTTAATAATTTTTTTTTACTTCAAAGATTATTTATAACAAACTTATTTGGTACTTATTTGATTATATGATAGTGAATAATTAATAAAACTTAAAACAAATTTTTGAATATTTTTGTTAGGTTGCCAAGAGAAAGTAACAACTTTTTTTTATTATTTTGACACATCTTTGAGTTCTACCTTCAATTTTTTCTGAATATATTAAGCATTATTTGAGTTCTAAGACGGATTAGTTTTGGTCTTATCAGGAGAACAGATATAAAGAGAATTAAATTAGAGAATAAATGAAATACTTCTTCGATCATCGAAGAACTGATATTCAACCAGAATTCATTCTATTATTCATTTTAAAAATATTTGCGCCTCTTTTTAGTTAGCCTGATTGCCACGGTGATGACATTTTCGTCGCTAGCATCACTGGAAACGAGGTTACCGAAGAAGCCCCTTCGCCATCCTGTTCAGTTATTTTTAACATTAGATTTCACAAGGTAATGAAATGAACTTGAAAAAGTTATTTACTCTCTTTTTTTAAATAATAATATATTGATAATGATAAAAAATATATTTCTTCATTCAATCTTTCCATTTTCACTCCGAAATAGGTTTGTTAATGGTAGAGTAGAGCTTTTAAATGACTCCATAAGCCGCCAGAAAATCAAGTTGTCATGTTGTTCTGTTGTGACGGTTCTATGTGACAGTTTTTGCATTAAGTTTAAGAATTTAAAGTTTGAGTTAATAAATTTATACAAAACATAAACTTTTATCTACAATACAATTAATGTACTTGATAAAGAGTTATTATAATTTATGAGAAATAAGTTTAAAAAAACATTATCATGAAATGTAGAAAGTGGTTGAATATTATAACCTAGAAGATTTCAACTTCTTAGTTTAATAATTAATTTGTTATTACTCAACAAATGAAATAGAAGAAAAAAATTAGTGGTAAATTCAATAAATCAAACAGTGACCTACTTTTCAAAAAAACTTTAATTCATGATATTTAGAATTAATATAAAATAAATATCTAACAATTTAACTTAGACCATTACATTAATTTCAAATTCAATATTTCTTATGTTTTCAGGTCGATTAAACCTATATATATACACATATATATATCTCTATATTTGTATACACGTCTACATAAATAAAGTAAAAATTGAACTTTTAGAAACATTTTTTAACAAATTTCAAGAAGTAATGGAGTCTTGTAAAGAGAGTGCAGATCAAACAACTCCAGATACAAATAAGCAAACAAAAAAATCTTGGTCAGAATTGAGAGGAGTAGTAAGTGAATTTCGTAGAAAATTATCGGGAGTATCAGATGGATCTGTCCCGGATGCAATAACATTTAGATCATTACCTGATGGCCGGTAAGATTTATATTGTGTTCAATGATACTTAAGATTGACATGATTTATATTTTTGCTATGAAAAAAATATATCTGATTTTTTGGTCGATTTTCCAGAACAAGAATATATTTTTTGGGTACTCCAAGTAACGGATGGGAAACAACACTCCTTTACGTTGATATAGGACAATATGAACAGTTTAATGGATGTAAACTTCATTGGCAACCAATAATTGAAGCTAATTTTCAAAGGTGAGAAATTAAATGATAATAACTAAAAGAAAAATAATTAAAAATTCAACTTAAAACTGGAAGACAAATTTTAGAGTATTTAACGCTGTGTTTTAATTTACCATTCAGTGTTTCAAGTGCAAATAGACTCTCAAGAGAAGAACAGTTACTGTGGGAGAGGAAAAGACTGACAACTTGGGGAATAACAAGCTACGAGATTCATTTGGAAAGTGGAAAACTTGTTTTCCCAGCTGCCAGTAGTCTTTATCAATGTATAGACACAGGATTTTCGGTATTTATTCAAGTCTATTGCAATTTTTCTATGTTTTGCATTATATAATTGCTTTAAATAATTTTTTTCCAGTCAGGACCCTTATTTCCTTCAGAACTGAGAATTTCAACGTCTGGTGCTAAGCTTTGTCCACAAATATGTCCATGGAATAGTGCTTTAGTTGCTCACACGTGTTCTGGAGATTTATATTTATCTCACAGTATAACTGGATCTTCTGTTCGATTAACACATGCCAGAAAAGGGGTAAAGAATCTTGCAGAAGATCCTCTTACAGCTGGAACGCCTTCTTATGTGATGCAAGAAGAATTTATGAGGTTTGTCATCAGTAGAAAGAATAAATTTTTTTTTTAAATAAAACCATTGATAATTTCTTTTATAATTATAATTTTGCATTTAGATATGTTGGTTATTGGTGGCAGCCTAAATCAACTGATGGAATATATCGAATAGTCTATGAAGAAGTAGATGAGAGTGATGTTAAAATATTTTGTTTTCCTTCGTCAACTCAAAATTCTGGTGAAGTCGATGAATTTAGATTCCCCCGAGCCGGTGCACCAAATGCACAAAGCAATTTAAAAATGGTGCAGTTCAAGTTGACTGAAAGTCAACAGATAGTTGATATCGAGATTTTAGAACTTCAATACCCGCTTCATTACATGTTTCCTTGGATGGAATATCTAGTCAGAGTGGGTTGGACGCCAGATGCAATGAATGTTTGGGTACAGTTATTAGATCGAGAGCAAAAACGATTAGAGTTGGTTTTATTATCATTAGACAATTTTTGTGACCCACCACCTAATGTGTATAACTCAGAAAATCATTTTACACCATCGTCAGCAAGTGTTCAAGTGATTTATTCAGAAGAGAGCTCGATATGGATTAATGTCAATGATTTATTATATTTTTTACCTTCTGATGACCATACAGAAGTCAAGTTTTTATGGGGAAGTGAAGAGTCTAAATTTTTGCATTTGTATTTAATTACTTCTAGTATAGCAGGTATAATGTTAATATACATTTTTATTTGTCAAAAAATTTATCTTACATAAATTTATGGCTTTTAAATTCAAACTAGGCCTAAGCAATGGAGTGGAAGAGCCATTAGATCGAATGGGTAGTGTCTATTTCCAACCACGAGTAATTTCTAAAGTTGCAATCACTCAAGGAGATTGGCCAGTACTTGGAAAAAAATTATGGGTCGACACGGCAAATTCTATCGTTTACTTTATGGGTCTAAGAGAAGGTCCTTTAGAGCAACATGCTTATGCAGTATCTTTACGAAGACCTCTAGAAATAAGATTATTGACGAGACCCGGCCATAGTTATAACAGTATATATTTTAATAAAGAATGTACAATGATGGTTGCTGTCTACAGTTCTATTAAGACTTTACCAACTTGCCAGGTAATTAAAGCTAACTATATCTCTACTTATTACAACAATATTCAAAAAGTTCCATTTAATAATAATCTTAACATCTTTATTTATATAACAAAGGTATTTAGAATATCTCAAACAGATTGGACAGTAGAAAGTATAAGTCTAACACCTGTTGGATATTTATTAGAACCAGTAAGTTCAGAAATAGATCTTCTAGCGCCAACCATTCACTCTCACAAAATATCATCAGGTGATACGATATATTCTATGGTATTTAAACCTCACAATTTTAAACCCGGAGTCAAATATCCTACAATTTTGCAAGTTTACGGTGGTCCTGAAGTTCAATTAGTTTCTAATACATTCAAAGTGAGTTAATATTCAAGTTATCATAAAAAATTTACTTACCAAAATATTTGTCGACTTCTGTGTTCACGAGAAACTTTGAAGGTATTGTCTTCCACTGAATCATTTTGTCTTACATTTTTTGCAGGGAATGCGACATCTTCGAATGCACATGCTAGCTTCTCAAGGATATTGTGTGATCTTAATAGACAACCGGGGTTCACACTATAGAGGATTGCTCTTTGAAAGTCATCTGAAAAGGAGAATGGGAACAGTGGAGTTAAGTGATCAAGTAGAGGTTCTAAAATTATTATCAGAAAAGCTAGGATATATCGATTTAAATCGGGTGGCTCTTCATGGGTGGTCATATGGTGGATATTTAAGTCTCATGGGCTTAATTCAATATCCAGAAGTGTTCAAGGTAAGAAAGAATTATTTATAGATTAAAATATATTAATTAATTAGTCTTTTTTCGCTTCCGCGTTGACTAACATTTTCTTTCTTTACTTATTTAGTGTTGATTATGTTGTGATCTTCTGAATATTCAATGTATTGTTTTTAACTAATTATGTGAGCAATTAAATTGTTAATTGCGATTGGATGAATGTTTATAATGGAATAATCTAATTAACCTGTAAAGATAGCTAATTAAACACTTTATTGCAGTTTTCAATTGAGTTTTAATTTTTAATTATTTTCAAAATATTAGTTGGCGATAGCGGGAGCACCAGTTACATGTTGGAACCTTTATGATACTGGATATACTGAGAGATACATGGATCTCCCTCAAAATAACTATTATGGCTATGCTAACAGCTCTGTGTTGACGTATGCTAACAAATTCCCAGATGAAGAAAACCGTCTGTTAATTATCCACGGATTAATCGATGAAAATGTGCATTTTTTCCATACAAGTGAACTTATTAATGCCTTAGTTAAAACGGGGAAACCGTATCAATTACAGGTATATCCAACCGAAAGGCACAGTCTTCGAAGTTTGGATGCTACTAGGCATTATGAAACAACCTTGTTATCTTTTCTACAGAATTATTTATAATCTATTGATTAATGAACCATGTGATTAATTAATTAATTAATTAATTGAAAAATTGATAAATTAACTGTTTAAGTAACGAATTAGAATCTATCTTGGTAATTTTAAAATATTTCTCTCGATGAGAAATATTTAAAATAAAATGAAATACTGCCAATTAAATGTAGGTAAAAGGCTACAAAAGTTAAAAAATATTACTTGAATTTTTTTTTCTCTTTTTTTTGGTACTTTCTCATTTATACTGACAGTTTATCACAATTTGAGATTTTATTAAACCAAAAACATTCTAGAAATTTCGTATAATCATGTCATTTATAAGAGAAACCAGTATTATAACCACACAATGTTGCCATAATTTAAACTAAAAAAAAGATACGCAAAAAGAGGAAAAAAGAATTATTTGAATAAATGAAATTTATCAATATTTATAATAATAGTAATATCGATAATTGAAGTACTAGTGATTTTTTAAGATTCCCAATGAAATTGGGTTATTTTGTTATTAATTATTGATTATTAGTTAAGAACGATAAAGAGTAACTTGGAATGCGAAAGTCATAGAAAATAGTAATGAAATAGTGTTAAATTTTTTATCATTTTTTTCAAGCTTTATTATATTTTTCGACCTGATGATTTTTTTGTTTAATTTTAAATAAATTTGAACTAAATAATAATGTAAAGTTATTGCAAAGAGATAAAAAATATGAAAAAAGAAATAAAATGTGACTATCAATCGTACAGATAATAATTCTAATGAAAATATTTGATGATAGTAACTAAAAAAAATTAATGTTAATTATAATACTCATAAATATCATAAGGAAATATCAAGATGAATTAAATTTTCTGAACATATTATCTTATCCGTACTTATATAAAATAACCTTATATTATTATTAACTACTGTTTAAAATTAATATTATAACAAAGAACGATTCTCATTTTTTTATGAAGATAACAAATATTATATAAATTGTTTTTATCATAAAATAAAATGTATTGTAAATAGACTCATATGAAAAACTATTATGAGAAAAATTAAATAGCAATGAGTATTAAATATAAATATCAAGTATAACTATTACAGTGATATTGATAATGATAACTATTAATTATTTATGGTTATCATTATGAAATAATATTGACCATTTATAGATATTTAGTTCATTGTCAATAAATAAATAAATTTACTATTTTATATTCGCATTTCACTGGTTTTTTTTTATTACGAATCAATATTGCTTAAACAGTAAAGTACTTTTTATGAAGTAAAATATTTTTTACAAACATTTGTAGGGATTTTAAGAATTTTTTTATTTCACATCTTGATCAATAACATTTTTCTCTCTTTTCTCATGGTATAATAATATAATTTATCAATATAAGTATTCACAATATAATTTAATTTTTATTAATAACTATTCACTGAAATAAAAAAAGATATCAATTATTAAGTGCTAAGTTTCTACCATCTATTATTCAATCCTGTTTTTGTCTTATTATTTAAGAATTTATGTAAATATTTGATTCTCTTTTTAATGTCTCTCCATCTTGCAGGTCTTGCAAAAGGAAAGATTCCTTTAGACCAAATTTTTTCTTTTCTAAGAAGGACATGATACTCATCACCTCTAACACCTCTTAACCAAGATGGAACGTTATACAAAACTCTTGTTGGATGAAGATTATCATTGCCTAGAATGTCAATGTAATCATTTTGACCAAACAAAGCTCGTCTTGGAGCCCAAACATTTCTAGGCCGATAAATAGGTAACTGTCGTATTGGACGTGTATCTTCTCGAGGTAAAAGTCCCCGAGCATCTACTGGATCATCATATCCAAATCTACGGAGAACTGGTCCGTTTTCACGTCTTTCTTTCCAGTAGTGATAACGAGTGTGTCTGACCTGAGTTACTTGTGGAGCCCAAAATTTAATTGACGAAGTTAGGGACGTGATTCCTTTACCAATCCACGACATTTCTACTAAAATAACCCTGAAGGTTACATCTTTATTAATTGATTAAATTATTTATAACTTATGATTATTATCTAATAATTTATTGAGATAAAAATAATGTGAAGTGTGGTTATATGAAATATGTAACAAAAAATAAATACAAATTCGAACTAAGAAATTCATGTAAACTTATTTTAAAATAATTTAAGTAATCAATAATGACGTATTTTATATTGCAAATTGAAGAGTTGTATCTGAATTTTATGTATAAAATAGTAATAATACTCAACGTTACCGGTGTAATTTCAAAAATGGAGTATGAGTATAAATAATAAAAAGATTAAATAATTTGGAATTAATATGGATAAATTTAATACTTACTTTTAAGTTGAGAAGAGATCTAATATATTTATGGTCATTAAGTGTTTTAAACCAATGATTATTATTTATTGTTATGCAAAAAATATTAAACAACACCAATTAATTATTCTATGATAGACCGGCCATCTTACATTTAACGCCACTAGTATCAATGTGAAGAACTACACAAAAAAATGAAGATTGAGTATTGAGGTTTATTTAGGATTATTTAATTATTATTAAAAATACTTTATAACACGTGTTGATTTGAATGGAAATATTTAATTAATAAATGGCAAGTTTCTGTAGACTTGTGAGAAGTATTAGAATATCAAAAGTGGGATTAACAAAAAGAAGTATCATGACAACTTCTACAAATGCAAAAAAATTTTTGGATGCACTCAAAGATAACCCATATTTCGATAAATATGCAGGAGCAATTGCTAAATTACAGCAAACTAATCCTGAAGAATTTTTATCAAAGATTGAAGAAAATGAAAAAAAGAAAAAACGTGTAAATAAAAATGGTAAGCTTGATGATTATTCTCATTATTAATTATTTCTAAACATTTTTTGAGTCACTAAAGTAGATTAAGATATATTAAATCTACTTTTTTCATATAATTTGATTATTAATATTTATAAAGAAGATTTATAATCCTAAATACCTAAAACAAGATTTTGATGAAAATTTTGAGTTAATTGGAATTTTTAAATAATGGGAGACAATTTTCCAAGTGAAACAAATATAGGCCTGTGGATTATGTGAATTACATTTGAAGCTGAATAAAAAATATCTTTTTTAGTCTCCTAATTTATTTGTATTATTTATTTAAGACATAAATCTTCGTAATAATATAAATATATGAGAGAGACTTTATTTTAATTTATTATAAGCTGTTAAATTTACTGATTATTAAGATTAATATAAATGTATGATTTAAATCAATGCTTTAAATACTAAAATAAATAATTAACTTACAGATACTCCCCAAGGAAAATCATTTAGCACAGAATTTCCAGCAAAACCATCTTTATCTTCATCATTACAAACAAATACTGCCCGTTTGTCTGATGTGATGAAAATGGAGCTTCTGGAAGATAAAGGCAAGGATGAGATTGCTGAAATTTGGTTAAATTATCATAAACAAAAAGATTGTATTAGTAGTGTTATGGATAGAAAAACATTTGAAACGATGTCCGAAGTTGCATCAAAATATCCAATCTTTTTATTACCTCTTCCTCGAGAAAATGGATATGAATTTATTTTAAGTCAATTTTATGGCAATGAAGTCCATATGACCCCTTTATTATGGTACCAAACCCATCACGAAAATGCTCCTGAATGTTTGAAGATCGTTCACTACATTGATTTGATGGAATCGAAAGAAATAGTTTTGATGAAAGGAGAGTTCGATTCTAAATCTTTGAATGTTCAGGAAGCTCAGTGTCTTGCTAATGAACTGCAATTGTATTATGCTAAAAATAACAAAGAGAGATTGAATTTGTTAGAAATATTTACTAAAAAACCTGACGAATTCAAACACATGGATTTAATTAAGCAGTTGGAAACTATATCATTGATTGCAGAAGATAGAAAAAAGTCAGAAGCTAAAGAGTAAAAAATAGGTTGATAAAATAATTTTAAATAAATTAGTTTCAAAATAAATGCAATAATTTATCATTAATACACTACTAGAGAGTAGTTTTTGATTTAATTCAATTTGTTTCTATGTAAGATTTAAATAAGAAATTAAATAAAATTTATAATAAACTTAATTCTTTTCATTTCTTTTGAGTTTTATGGAATAAACAATTTATTTTTCATTCTAGTGAACAAGATTGTTTTCAAGAATTGGAGAACTTTCTGTGGTGTAGATAAAGTGCGAGCAAACATAAATCAGAACTTTGTGAGAAACTTTAGTGATTATCAAAGGAAAAGCGTCTATGTCACTACTCCAATTTTCTATGTGAATTCTGGTAAAAAATTATTACTCAATGAATATTACAATTTGTTGATGCTTTTTTTCATACTTTGAAGATAAATTAATTCTATAATCAATTTTGTAAAACTTTTATCGTTATCTGTAATAAGCATTCCATTTGTTCACAAGAACTTAAAATGATACTTTTGTATATTTATTGCTATTTTAGGTCCTCATATTGGTCATTTATATACTGCTGCTCTTGCGGATACTTTCACACGTTACAATTTCATGCTTGGTCACGAAGTTTTCTTTATTACTGGAACTGATGAGCATGGTAATAAAGTTCGTAATGCTGCTATAAAAAATGGGGTTTCAGAAAAAGATTACTGTGACAACATATCAAATTTATTTAAGGATATGTGCCATGAGTTTGACATTGATTATTCGAAATTTATTCGAACTACAGATCTTGACCATGAAAAGTCTGTTCATCATTTCTGGGTATGATCATTTATTCGATTGGTTTTATTAATAAAAGAGATTACAATTTTCTTTCAATTGTAATTTTCTTTTATTTGAAACTGTTTCTATAGATGAAGGTTTTTTTTTTAATTCAATTATTGCAGAATACACTTGAGAAGAACGGTCACATTTACTTAGGAAAGTACTCAGGATGGTATTGTACAGAAGATGAAGCCTTCGTACCAGAAACAGAAATAGAAGAGAAAAAATTTGAAAATGGTACGAGTATCAAAATTTCAAATAGTTCAGGAAACACAGTTGAGTGGATGGAAGAAGAAAATTACAAATTTCGCTTGAGTTCATTTCGAAATGACTTAAAATATTGGCTTAAAGATGGTATGGATATAAATTAAGAAAATAAAAAGATAATGTATTCATTATTAATAAGTGAAATATTTTTATAATTTATTACAATAGAAAAGTCAGTTCAACCGTTAAAATATCATAAAATTTTATCATCGTGGATCGAAGAAGGAAGCTGTTTACAAGATTTGAGTGTATCCAGACCTTCTTTTCGATCACCGTGGGGTATTAAAGTTCCCCGTAATGATTCTCAAACAATTTATGTGTGGCTTGATGCTTTAGTAAATTATCTAACTGGTATTGGTTATTCATCGGATCATAAATTGTCCAAATTTTGGCCACCGAGTTTGCAAGTAAACTATCATATTAAATAAATTTAATTGCTAAAAAATCAATTTATATTTTAAATTTATTATTGTAGGTCATCGGAAAAGATATATTAAAATTCCATGGGGTTTATTGGCCAGCATTTTTAATTGCTGCTAATCTAGAACCACCGAGGACATTATTATGTCATTCACATTGGACAGTGGATGATAAAAAAATGTCTAAGTCGAAAGGGAATGTCGTTTCTCCAAGTGATGCTGCTAAAATATTTACTCGTGATGGTCTAAGGTATTTTTTACTTCGTGAAGCTGTTCCTCACAGTGATGCAAGTAAGCTTCAAGTTACTCAAAAACCAATAAATTAATAAGTATTAAACAAGAAAATATTGAAGCGAAGTATTTTTTAAAATTTATCTCTTGAGATTGATAAATGTTCTTGAGTCTTACCAATAGCTTTTATTTTGTAATTATTGTCTTTCAGATTATAATGAAGATAAAATTCGAGTAATATTGAATACTGAATTAGCAGACACTCTTGGAAATTTAGTTAGTAGGTGTATGGGAAAAGCAGTAAATCCGCAAAAAATTGTTCCAGAACCACACATTGATCACATCAACATTTTAAATTCAGATGAAGCTAAAAAACTAGCTGAAAGTTTACACTTGCTATCATCAACTGCTCAACATCACTACGAAGATTTCAACCTCCACCGAGTTGTTGACTCTGTGATGCAAACCTTATTTTTAGCCAACAAAATGATTGAATGTCAGAAACCTTGGGTTCTAGCAAAAGAAAAGTTATCAAACAATCAAGATAGCAGCCGAAAACTAGAAGCGGCTTTAGCACTTGGTTTAGAAGCCGCGAGAATTGCCTCGCTTGTGTTACTTCCCATTATTCCACGGTTGAGTTCTGAACTTTTAAACTTTTTAGATGTTCCAAACTCTGCACGTATGTGGGATAACTGTAAATATTTGAATACGGGACGTAAAAATGTTTGTGAAAATGACAAGCAGGAAAATTTTGCATTTTTTGCAAAACTTAAATAAATAAAATAATTTCTGAGTGCATTTTATTAACTTGTATAGAATTTATAAAGCTCAAATATTGATTTTTTATAAAGATATGATAAACATTTGATATACAAATAAACAATGTTTATAACTCGAAATAAGTTTCTATTTGATTGTGTGCTATTCGAAAACTTATTTTTGTGTTTGAGTAGACTCCTTTATCTAGATACACTGTTTATCTTTAATTCGTCTCATACTATCAGTTATTTCGTTCACACAAATAAGATTTATTATTCTAAATTTTAAAAAATCGTTTTAGTATAAAATCTTACATTTTTTCAACAAAACTAATTAAATTACAATAGATGCAAAGCAGATTCAAATAAAATAACATTTTGCAGTATCGATTTACATTTCTAGTAATCAAGAAAATCAAATTTCCTACTCCCCGTTCAATTTCTAATAGATCTAATCTAAGATAGAGATGATAATGATAAGAACTTCAATAGTCTTTTATACGCGAAATGAAGTTATCTTATATAGTCTTAATTGATCGAAAGAATTAAAGAAGAAATTAATTAATCAGAGTCTCCACTTACATCTTCCGAAGAAAATACTTTTTTTTGTAACTCAGATAAGCTTACTGGAGTGTCAATATTAACAATATTTTCAGTATCCTTCGGGTTATCAATTATTGAAGATTTTCTCCGAGATCTATACAAAGGATTTTCAAATCTCTTGCCTCTACCCACGTTATCATTGTCTTCATTATCTATCTCCAGCATTTCATTTTCCGCTGTTATAGCTCTTGCAAGCTGAACATCACCCTCAGCTAAGTTTTCAAAGCGCGCAAAACCAAAAGAGCTACCGGTATTTGGCGTTCCATCGGCTCTTATTCCGTCCCTTATTGAACTAAAGGCTTCTCTCCCAATTGATATAATGCTGTAAATATTGAAAAATACAATTTAAATTATATTTATTTCTGTTTCACGAATGGTTGTTTGACTGTCAAACGGTGATAATAAATGTCTTATAAATAAAATATTAAGCATTAAAATTTTAAAATAGATTCTCTGGTTTAATACCCACTATTTGAGAGACAAAACTAGATATAAATTTTTAAGTGGTAGTAAACAACATGGTCAAGACGTTTATAGGGAGTTTTATCATCATATTTTTGATGTGATATTTCATTTTAATGAATATTAATATTATTTTTAAATTTAAATTGAAAAATTTCAATTAATTATACATTATTTTTTTTCGTACTTAAATTCATGTATTTATTCATAACTTTAATTTTATATTTATTGGTGGATATTTTTAAAATTTACTTTACTTCATTTTTACTTTGATCTTCTTAAAAATCAGCTACTGAATGATTAAAGACTGGGCAAAATTTAGCGGGCGGGAATGAAGCCCGAGAGATTGTCCAGTAGAGAAATGAGAGACATTCGCAAGTTAAAAGCTAGCTAAATTAATACCTTGACATTTACATTATTGAAGGGATACTTTCTGCATGCTACTCTATTTTTCAGTGTAAAAAATAATATCTACACCTACTTGGCACCTTTCAGAGTTTATTTTACACTCGAGGTTTCTGGGAAACTTATTCAAAGAAAGAAACTAAATAAAACGAGTTTTTTGTTTGATAAGTGCTACAGGTGCTTGCTCATAGTCCTGCGCAACAGCCACATACCTCACTATATAAGAGCCTCATATTCATATAATTGCTTTCATAGTATGAAGTAAGAATGGCTTTAGGGTGTTTGGTGATACACCATAGCATATGTAAAGAGCAGAAAAGCATATGAGTTAAGAATATTAGAGAGAAAGCAAGTTAATCTTGCCAAGTAAGGCGAAAATATTAAGTACCAGCTGTTGCGAGAATTCTAATGAAATTACGAATAGAGAGAATTAGTAGTAGGTGCCAGTCTCTGAAATTAAATCGAATGAGAGGTTCAGGAAAGCGTAGGATTTCATTTTTTCATCTGTTTTTTTATTCAGAAAGATTGATGAGCTCATTTGATGAAGTTTGATTGCTTCGATATTTCCCTCAAAATATTTTACATCGTAACTAGTTCTAGACTTACTGGCGTTATTACTTATCATTCAAAAACTATTAATTCACAATTTAAATGAACTTTTTATTGGCATAAAAAATTGTTCAATTTCAATAAAATCAGTTATAAATTTAATTGGAAACTTGAATGTATATCATAACAATTTTCTATTTAAAGTGTCAAAAACATTTACATTTTATTTTTACTAAACTTTCCATTTTATAAGTAATTAATAATACGACATCAAAATTATATTGTGTTACTTAAAAAAGTAATTATATTGTTTGTCAAAACCTAATTGTCTCAACAACTTGCTCATAACTATTACATGTAACATTAAAAGTTTACTTAATTTATTGAAGACTTAAAAGATAACTTTCTGATGCTTTAAAAAATTTATTAACATTAAAAAAAAAATTATCCGATAAGAAAATAGTTTCCCAGATGCAGACTAAATTTTTTAAAAAGAAAATCAATTCAAAGCGTAGTACTTGAAGAGTTTGTTAAAGTTAATATTAAAAAATGTTCTATTCTTTAGTAAACTAAGAAAAACATTTGTTGGTTTCCACGTCAAATAATTTTTCTTCGAAGTACAATTAATAAAATATTGAACACATGATTACTTACTAATTATATGAATACCCATAATATGGCAATGCTATCAGCATCAAGATGAAGAGAATAATAGGAGTTCCAAAAAACAGTCCAAGTGCAGTTGCAAGCACTGATCCACTCATTGATGCACCCGTGGTCTCAGAATAAATTATAGGAATTCTGTGAGCTATAGAAATCAATATCTTTTGTTAAATCATTTACAACTATTTGAAAAAATATATAAATACAAAAACAGTAAATAAAAGCAACCCATCAATACTCCGGTGAGTTTATCAACGGCTTCCTGACTTTTTATTCCCGAATAAATTCCATTCTCAATAATCAGAACTTCAGACTTTTCACCATCCCAAGATGCTCGAGTATGCAATGATATACTTCCGTAAAAATTTTCAAGTGCTTCCTCTGCTATTTCTTGCAGAGCTGCTATACTAAGTGACTTTGATGAAACTATAACACGTCCTCCACAATAGTCACAACAATGACCTTCAACCTAGATCAATGATATTTTTAAATATTATTATGAATAAATTATCATCAAAATTATTAGCAATTACATTTGTTCACTCCAACAGTTTATTGATTCACTTATCTGACAGCAAAAATTATAATGACCTGTATTGGATATTCACATCCGGGTCTCCCACATTTAGGACGCGCAATTTGACAAATTTCATCCAAAAGATCAACATTGTCTGGTTTGCATAAACAATCAGTTCCACAATATTGAAGTCCACTTAAACTAGACTCATCAAATAATAATATAATGTACTTAATAGAACCTGTGTTTAATTTAGTTAAAAAAAAAACTCACCTTACAGAAATAGGACTTTTTTTAAATTCTCTTCCATGAATCATTGATTTCCAACGCCATTCATCGATTGTTTCTCTTTCACCTATTCTCAATTCCATCACCTTCACTCTAGTATTCGGCAAGCGGATATTCAATGAATGATTCTTATCAGGCAATATAACTGTATCCATACTGCATGGAATTCTTTCTAAATGTGGTGTTGCTGATGATGAATTCCAGTTATCTGGATCTGCCCAATAAAATGGACCTTTCAACTTCCATTTTTTTATCTTTAATTTATTATTCGTGTTTACCAACTGTAATAAAAAAATAACAGAAAAACTGTCATCGTTTCTAGATAAAATATTTTTTATTCACAAACATCAGTTACTTACTTGAAGACTTCCATCTCGTGCTAAAAGTAATCCTCCATCTCTAGGTAATTCAATGCCAGAAACTAGTAAATTATCTGATGGAAGTCCAACAGAATGAAAAAGTTCTAATGGAAAAGATATGCGAGATTTGGATTCTGGAAAGGAATTATCCTCCCAATTTTGACTTGTTGACCACTCAAGATCAGGTAACCATTTCTTAGTTTGTCCAATTCTCCAGGAAGTACACTTATCAGTCAATATTAATTGAATGAAGGTAACGTAAATGATCAAGAAATTCATTTTATTGAGATTTTTTATTTATTTTTGATAATATATATATTATAGACATTTCATTTAATATTCAATTTACATTAAAGTTTAACTAAACAGAAGCTTCTGATGGTGAGTAAAATGAAATACGGAAAAGTTTCAAGATTGTTATGACATAAGGGGGCGTTCTTATCATTAATCTCTAGCGTATTTAAGTTTTATCTGGTCATCCAATTACTGTTATATGTTGTATTCTGATATTAATACAGTTGGTACATTCTTTTCAATGTATTTTCTAATATGTAGTAACAATTAATAACAAAAGAGTCAATGTTAGCTTGATTAATTCATCAAAAAGATGTAGCCACTGTGAAGAAGATTATACTGAATAATAATTTAATTTAAATATGACTTTAACTCTAAAGACTTTCAACTACTTTGTAAAGTCATTTATTACTTTTTTTCTTAATGATTACATCTTTTCAAGAATTACTAATAAATTTTTTAATAACTCTAATGTTCCATTGAAGCTTTTAAATCTCTCAAGACAGGCATTACACATTGATGTTAGAAGAATGAATAACTTATAAAATCTACAAATCCTGTCAATATTTTCTAAGAGTTACAATAGATGTCATTTTATACTTAATGAAAAAATAAAGCAAATGAAGTGATTGTTATTAATACTGATCCCAAGTGTGATCTTCATTTGAGTTCAGAGCATTTGTATTAAAGACATCTAAGTGACCTTTATCTTGATCATGATTATGCATTATTTGACTGCTGTCATCTGTGTTGTCTTTAAGCATATGTCGATCTTCATCAATGACATCAAAGATTTTAGAGCGTTTTCCAATTCCAAAATCATAAGAACGTGATGGTGCACCTCTTTTCATTCCATAATCATCGACTTCATCGTTTTTTAAGTAACTGTTGAATCTGTCACCATTTGATAAGCCAGTTAAAAATCGTAGTGGATGTATTTTCTCGACAAGCCTTTTACCAACTCCAAAAGAATAGGGTGAGTTCCTCTGTGGGAGAAAAGAGAATTTTTACGTTTGTGGTTGTTTTCATTCAATGATGAAGGATTGGATTTTATGTTGATTGATGAATTAAATATTGATTTATGGAATATTCTCTCTGTCATCTTTGTTATGTTTGCAAAAGTTTCATAATTTTCGTCTATTTTGGTCTATATTAATTCTGAGTTCATAAAATCAATAACATAATTACGAAATAATTACTCCTACGCCTACTGGTTTAATTTTATTGGATAAAATTATTGTCTTTTCAAAAATTAGTCTTGTAATAGGAAACAGTGTTCAAGTTTTTTGTTAAATAAAAGATAAATTTTCATTCTGTTGATACGCAACAGACTTGTTATAGTGTAAATTGTTATTTATCACCAAATTTTTGTAACATAAAAATAATTTTTTGGAATGTACTACAAGTCAATTTTAGTGTTCATGAGTTGATTTATGATTCTAGTCGGTTGGCTGTGTTTTGAAAAATATCTGTTGCAAGTTGTTTTGTTGCTCTAAATAAAGCACGAATGCACTAATTAATAGCCCTCCATTCATTTATAGTCATTAAGCTATTATATAACAATGATTTAATAAAGATAATGACCTTATAGTTGGATGAAAGATCAATGATAAGATCATGATGATATTTTTATTGAAAAATTACGATGAAAATATTTTTCTCCTTCTGCTTTAATTAACATTCTAACACAGTTCATTAACTACTCTTAAATAATTATTCAAAAAAACCAAAGGAATAAAATTTTCTTAAAGTATTGATGTAATTGAAACATTAAGGAAATAAGTGAATATTTATACATGTATCACTTTATGGATATTTTGTATAATATTGTATAATAAAATATTGGAAGAGACTATGCTATTGCAAGGAATGCCTGTATATATATATATATCTATTCTTATCACATTGAATAAAAAATTTTTTATAATATGCAACTGTCTGACTACTGTTTGCACTTGTCAAGTGATGTTCAGATACTTGCATTAATTTTTTTTTCGTATCGCATGCCATGTCAAACAATAGATAATAGAGTGCAATAGACTATTTGTTGAGAAGTTCTATATTTTAAAATTGAAATCAGTCGTGTCTTTGATGATCCTCCAAATATTATTCACTTCAATATACTCGTTGTAATATCAGGTATTATGAAGGGTCATGATTGAACTTTCATGCATAGTAAAAAAAAAAATTACCCCGGCATACATATTATTTATTAATAAATAAGCGGTGTTTATGCATAAGCATGACAAAATATTAATTATTTTCATTTTTTACTCGAGTTGATTTATTTCTTTGCAAATAATACAACGATATGGAAAACAAACTTCTTTCATTAAATCAACTGGTTTTTTTTACTCAACACTTTAATATATAAAGCCATGCCATTCTTTATAAATAATAAATAAATGATAAAAAATCTAAATAAATGTATTTTTGATTGTTCTAGTTTTAAAGTTCACTATTTGTGTATTCATTATTAATCATGATAACATCAATAAACTAATAGAAAAAAGTTAAAACACTAATTAATTAATTCATTTATGTTGAACTTTAACAAATCTTTCAAAATCTTTTCATTAACAAAATCACTCTCATTCAACTTTTAGTAACCTAAATAATTAATATTGTCATAAACATTATGTACACTTTTTGATAAATTACTGGTTAATATTAATGATAACTCTTTCCATATTTATATAAACATTATTTATTCCAATTATTTTAATTAAATAATAACTAGTCATATTCATCTGTCAGAAAAGAGCTGATTTCACTTCCTAAAACTCCAGGATATTTTTTTCACAATAAAAATGTCAAATTATTGAGGGAAATCAATTAAAGTGGCTCAACAAAGGAAAATGTGTCTAATTCAACATGCCAGCTTATCGCTATCACAATGCGTATTAACTGAACAAGGAAATAGTTAAATTAAACGTAAAAGTCGAGGGATGATAGTGAATAAATAATGAATATAATAAAAAAATAAATGGTTGGATATAAGTGGATTTTTGGGAATATGTGTTATATAGGAAGAGAATGTGTGGGCTTATATAAGTTTAGTTTTCACTGAGCTTGACTGCCTTATCAACGTCATTGTTACACGTAAATCCTAGGGGTTCTAGGGATTGCGTTTTAGAAGACAATCACTTTATCGAGTCACAGAAAAGATCCTTTGTAAGTGTCAAGTTTATTACTGTGGTTTTTAGGTTGCAATAACAAAGTTGCATTTCTCATGAAAACCAGTACATAGCTTTTGTATTGTCAACGTTGACGTCAATGTCATTCATTTTGATGTTATTAAAATTGGGAAAATACCACATAATACTGCTGGGAATCTATTTATGATGATTGATAAGAATCAATAGCTATGTAGTACATCAGAAATTATAATTAATGTACAACTTGAATTTTTATTGTTATAGATATTATTAAAAAATGATAAGATCTTTAGAAATTAATTATAATTTATTGTTATAAAATTTTAATCATGTCTACGATATATAAATAATAGAAAATGTAGGAATTTAATGAAAAAAAAACTACTCTAATATGAATTCAATGAAAGAAAACTTATTAAAATGATTAAAAAAGCAATACATTATTGTCCTGTTTAGTTGAAAATATTATTGTACGATAAATAAATAAAAAAAATATATAAAAAATTCTGAGAAATGTATCAGTCAAGTTCTTTTTATAAAAATCATAAAAAAAGTAGCAATAATAACTCGTTGAATTTTTTTTTTTATCACAAACTGAATAAAACGTTACTGTTTTCGTGCTGATGCTGAGAAAAATGCATCAGGAGCATAAAATAAACTGCGTTCGCGCTTTAATTGCTACAGATATATCGATGGAAGTGTTCGATAAAAAATTGTTTTCATTCAATTTATTTTCTTAATGTTTTTATATCTATATTTGAATAATTAAAAGGCTCGTGGAATTATTTAAAATGATACTTTCGAGTAATATTTCATGAAAATGTATAATATTGTATTTCAAATGTGCATTTAATGCTCTATTTGTACAATTAGGATAAAAATAAATGTATATGTTTTGTAAAATAATTGTTTCAGTGTACTTTACCTTTATGTTAGTGTCATCGAACCACCTTTTTCCAATGCCAAAGCTATATCGATATTCAGGAAACCGTTTGTATTCAGCGACGTAACGATTTTCAGGTAGACGTTTATATTCCGTGATAAAATCGTAATCCTTTTTCGCTGCACATCCCAAACGCTGCGAAATATCTCTTGCCGACCTTTCAAAAACATTTCTGGAATCTTCCATTAAACCAGTCACAAAACCCAGATAACATATCAGCAGGACGTTAACAAATCTTGTCTTGTTCATTCTTATCACACGTTTGCCTTCTGAAAGACAAAAAAAAAATATATGTATGAATGACAACACACGGAGAAGAAAAGAAGTCTAAAGAGACACAAAGAATATAGGAAATGACCAAATCGAATTTTATATTTGTATCTCTAAAGGTTTACAACAGTCATTAATTTGCACAAATTGAATTTCTCAATAGTATAGTGAACTTAATTAACGCATTCTTATGGCTTTCAAGGGTTTTTCCGTTATTTTTTTATTTTATTTAATATCCTATTGAGTTGATGAACACAATCAACACATTTGTTGGTGTTGATACATTTTTTACTTCAAGTTTATTAGCTTTTTGTCTTTTTGTACTAAAAATGATGACTTTTAAGAACATTCAACAGTTGAAGTAATTAAATTAAAGAGAAAATTCACTCTACAATATATTCTTATTTGTTGACATAATCTTGCTTAACGTGGATGCACTTGTTTCCATTTTGTATTCAATACCATGATCTCATTTATCTTCTGAACATTAGTATTAACGTTCAATACATGAGTTTTCTAAACTATTTCAAACCACCATTTTACTAAAGTGTTTGTATTATTTATCATTCTAACAAATTTTGAGATAATTTTATTTTTTAATTATAGTTGGATTCTTCCTTTAGTAGTATAATCTTTAATACAATTCTTTTGTCTCAAGCTAAAAATTACATATAAAAAAGATCTACAGAGGATAAAGTATCATGTTTGAAATTTCTTTATAATAGGAAGAGTAAAGTTACTCAGAAAAAGAGTATAATATTTCTAATTATATTGTCAAATGAAAATAATTGAATTCAAGATAAAATGAAATTCTTGTTTAATGGCATCAGGACTACTTTGATTCACATGCTGGATAGCAGCCATCATCAAGATTATGTAGTTATCAGTGATGTGTCATTGTCAGCTCTTCTGAGAAACGTTGTTATTGTATCTATTTGTAAGCTGGGCAATCATCATATAATTAATATCAATTGTTGCTATAAATAGACAGGTAAATGATGAGAACTGATGGATATTTTTGATCAACCTTCATACCTGAGGGTGATTGGATAACTTGGTCTTGGAAGGTAGGAACAATGATTTAAAGCTGGTACCATCATAGAACACGCAACGAACTTGACTGTGTGGCATTTTATTGATTTATGCATTTAAATAATTTTTGGAATGAAGAGTACCCCAACTGTTAAACAAGTGACCCTAAATGATTATAATGCAGAAAAAAATTATTCTTAAGCTAGGGTAACATCTGTTGGGAGTAGTTTAATTGAACTTGTATAAAGAAAAAATTATTTTGTGGAAAATAAATTTTATTCCACCATAGAAATAATGTTTCTCTTCAATCAAGAATATCTTGGGTTTGCTCAAGAATTAGGGTAATTTTTTCAATGTATATTTTGAAGTTGAATATTTTTTTTTACTCAAAAAATAAAATTTTATTTTAGAAATTGTGCTTTCTGAAGAAGTTTGGACAAAGAAAAAAAGACATTTGATTAGATCAAACAGAATTAGATCAAAAGTAAACAAAAATGACTAAGCTTATGTATTTTCGTTGTATTTTTTTTATCTCCAATTTTAATCATTATATTTAGTTAAAATTCTATTTAACATATAATTTTATTGTTAGATGTATTTTTTAGATATTTTTTTTTGATATTTTTCCTCAAATTGAATTTCTCCAAATCAGAAACTCATTGATATAACTGATAGTTCTGCTCGAATAAGTTGAAAAAACTTTCACTTTCTATTTTTTATGCCATCAGGTTATTTTTAAAAAAAAAAATTTAATGAATGAATGAATGAATCTTTTATGTTGATAAAGTTGCCCTAATTCGATGTACCTTTGAACAAAATAATTTGAGAGAATAATTTTTTTGTCAAATTCTAATTAGCAAACTTTTCTTTTTAGCTATTCAAATGAATCCTAAATATCAATCAAAACTGATCTTTTATTCTTGAATAGTAAACAAGCGAAAGCTTTTAATTCTTTCCTTCGGAGCAAAGTCTTGCTGATTTTATGAAATTTTATATTTCAAAATTTACATGAAAAATTAATTTCCAAGAGTGGGAGAATAGGTGGAAAAGGGATATGGAGATTGAAGCTTTTAACAACACAATCGAAGCTGTTAATCTCTAAGAATACGGTCTTTCTGGTGGGTTCGTAAATACTTCGAGACACTGAGAGAACCCTTCTATTGCTGTCAAGGGGTTTCATAATTGCCAAGGGAAAGATGTAATCTTCTGGGTGGTCGTTGGAAATATTTTATGGTTTAACTGTCAAGAATTTTACACATCTTATTCAATTATTTTATTAAGCTCATTTATATTTTATTTTTAATTTTTCAAAACAAATTAATTTATGCTTCAATATTCATTTAAATGTATTACTTCCACTTGTCGAGCAAGAATTCCTTTAAAATTAGGGTGGCATTTTAATGAAGTCGAATAATTTATAAGCAATAAGTAAGTTACTTTTATAGAATAAAAAAAAAAAAGAGAAAACTCATGAATTCTATTTCTTGAAATTCTTTTCTTCAGTAGATATGATTAAGTGATTTTTTCCAAGTATTTTTATTATTCGGTTATTTTACTCTTCTATTTTCTCATCTTATATTGGATATGAGATTAACGTCACTTCAATATTCCGTGACACTTGCACATGTCAACTGATGATTTTTATAGATACAAAAAATTGTCGATATCTCAATCTCTTTTAATGTTTCATAAATTAGCAATTTCCAGTTAAAAATTCTTCGACTTATTGTATGTCATTATATTGCATGACGAGAAAAAAATATCAGAGAAGAAAAAAAAATATTTTTAGATAATTATTGTATATTATAAAATTTATTCATTGTCAAATGAAATAAGAATTTTCAAATCAACAAGATTTCTTGTTTTTTTTTTTTTTTAATTTCCCTTGCGTTTAAATTTCGAAAAAAATATTATATTTAAACTTTAATTTTATAAAACACATAAGATTTATATGAATGAATTTTTTTAATTATATTTTTGGATTAAAATAGCTCCGAAAACATAACATAATTTCTAATTAAAATACGATAGAAAATGTCAGATTAATTTGGTACAATAGAGAAATGAATTTGTACAATAAATAAAGAACAAAACTAGGTGATGTATATTTTAGAAGTTAAATTCATACTGTGAACAAATTTGATAAAAAAAGTGGAAAATATGTCAGACAATCTGAATTTTAATTTATAAATCAAATTATATCTGAAGAAAATAAATTTATTTTTTAATGAAAAACAAAGTAAAAGAATCTCGGTTTTTTTCTGTTCTTGAAGCTTGAATTAACTTTAAAGAAAAATAATCTCTTAAAATGATAAAATAACAAAAAATGAAATAATACGTACCTTTAATAAAATAATTAGTACAAAATTATTTTGAGTAATTAAATAACCGAAACAATGATGATAGCATTTCAATAATTTATTCAATCAACCAATAAATAACTGAATTCTGGTACTGCTTTGTCACGGATTATTTTAGTCACGCCGTAGATTAATTATAGCGCGAAAATTTTAAATTAATGAACTGAAAGTAATAAATATACTAATGTGACTATTAATCAGTAAATATAATCTGATAAAATCATCAATCATTTTAAAAATACAAGACATTTTGTTTATTCACTCAATACTGATCGCACTAATTTTTATGTTTGTGAAATAAAACAATTAACTAAGCGATTAAGCGTGAAAATGAATGTCTAAGAATTTAAAAGTTGATCAAACAAATTAAGTGTGCCATAGAAGAACTTTAAGATAAAATAAAATGCTCACCTGTTGCTAGTGCCAACACTGAAGTTGAAATGTCGCGTGTTGCTACTTCGGTAGAAGTACTGAAATTTTTATTATATAATATACGAAATATATTTATTTTGACAGAAAGATCTCTGTATATTATTTTTCGTTTCTTATTTACTTTAAACTGACGTAAATATCAACCGGTAAACAAATCTTTTTATTTCTATAAATTTTTCAGAAACTCACAAAAAGATGATAAAGTGGAGGATGAAACAAATTTGAGTTTAAAATAAAATATTAAAATTTTTTAAGACAACTGAATTCGTTAGTTAATAAGGATTATAAGAATAAGAACTTCGTATCGACGGCCTCTTCCGGGCAAGAATGACGCTGAGGGCGAGTTGGTTTCGCTTCTATATAACAGCAAATCGTCGGCGTCAACGGCGACGGCGTCGTCACCATCACCATTGCTATCACCGTCGTCATGGAATTGAGTCAAAGAATCAGAGCATTCACACAATTTTGTGCAATCTTTATTAAGTCAGCACCAAAATGGGATTGTAAAAATAAGTATCTAAGACTTTTAGGTCAAAACGTACATTTTTTGTGTTATTATCTTCTTTTTTTTTTTAAATAATAAGTTTTAAATATTTTTCGTCAATAGTAATAGTATCATAATAAAAGGGTAGTATTATCATTATTGAAATAATCCCAAAGTATCATTTGATCATTGATAAAAACTTCTTTCTTAGTAATTTTTTGTTGACTATGAACAAATCGTATTAATTTTACTCTCAATAAAATTCTATTTGATTAAATAATTTTTTGTTTTCTATTTTTAGATTCTTTAGAAAAGAATAGACCATTCAAATATGATTTTATTCAATATTTACCTTCCAAAATAATTTACTTCAAAGGGATTTGTTCGTTACTAATAGGATGACTAGACTAATAAATGAACACCACCTACAAGATAAAAAAATTATAAAAAACTAAAAATTAAAATGAACTAGTTAAAAACTACTCAATTATTCTTTTTTATATATTTCTTTTATTAATAAGAATAGTAACTGTTTGTTTTTAATAAACTTTTCTTAATATATGAATGTTAATGGTAATGACAATTAACGATTACTCGAATCACTGAATATCCTAATGACATTCTTTTAATTCAAATTGATATTAGTTTCTCTAGTATTGCTGTACTTTGATTCGATAAAATAGTCGATAATAGCAAAGTAAAAAACATAATGTTGAAAAAAAGTAATATAAAAATTTCAAAAGAAAGGTAAAATAGTGAAAATGATTATGGAAAGATAATGAAATTGTTATTGGATAGTACTAGAGAATTTGTTGCAAATTGCTCATAAAAAATCCTTCATATCTGATTACATGAATTCTGATCTACTCATAAAAGGGTGAGATTCAAGTAGTAAAAAAAAATGTAGTATGTCTGACCGAAACGGGACGTAACTACTGCGGGGAAAAGATTTTATTATCGGCAGGCAGGATGAAATTTTTTTTTCGATACTCTAGAAAGGACATGGATCATTAGAACAGACGATGTTCTCTGTTTTTAACTAAATTTCATGTCTCAGAGATATTAATTAATTTAAATTTTATCGTAGGATCACTCGTCATAGATAATGTTTGTTAATTTATTAATAAAATATGAGAATAAATTATAATTACTTTCATTTTTAAATGAATGCAGATCAAATTAAATAAAATAATTCACCTAATTTAGACATTACTGAATAATAATAATTATTATTTATAAGTTATATCACTAGTCAGTCCATTTATAATATTACATAAATAATTACTTTATTTCGATTTATAAATTCGCTAGAATATTTGTAACTCTTTGTATCGTTCAACATCAATAATAATTCAAATTTATCCCTCTATCACTAATAATAGCTTTAATTAAACATATTTTAAGCATAATTATCTATATGTAACGATTTAATCTCCGTTTGCACTTAATTAATAATTATTACCATTCAATTGTACTTCAAAAGCTCCCAATTCATAAAATGTCAAACTGAATCCTAGTCAGAGAACAAAAAATTGAGGGAGAAAAAAATTGATCAGACAGAAACTTTTAGTTTCTTTTGACCCTTTAAAAAATATTCCATTCTTTTAGTCCCTTGTTGTTCTTCTATAGACAATAAATATAACTAACAATATATTTACACGTGTGAAAGCTTATGGACCTCATGAGAATTCCCAATTGACACTTTCCAGTTTTCCTACCTCATGAATTTGTTTCATAAAACTTAAGTTTATCCCATAGAGAGTTTGATATCTGTATCGATCGATATCCAAAGTTTTAGGTCTCGTCGTTTTATTATTTATCATATTTTTAACATTAATTTATGCTTTTTTCTATCACAATCCATTGTTATGTAAACAGAAATATTATAAAAAATTCTTCATTGAATTCAATCAAATATTTAATCTTTTCCCCTGTTGAACACAAATATAAATATTCAAAAGTAAGGTTTTCCCTTTTTCTAATATTTTCAATTGATTCTCACCATTTTTTAAACCTTTACTATTTCAATTCATTCAACAACAAAAAATACTCTGCTCAAAATTATCAGGAAATGTTGCTTTAGAAATTATTAAAATTATAAATTAATTTTTTATATAGAAGTTAGTTAAAATAATAATATTAAATATTCCATTAAAAGCCAATATATAATGACTCAAATAATAATCTTTTGATGTTAATGTAAACATAACTCGTTAATTTATCTAATCTACAATTTATTTATTACTATTTAAACTACATCATTTTCTCCAGGGAGATCATGATAAATGGAATTAAAATGCGATAAGTTCACATAAGTACAACAAGTGTTCAATTCTCACACAGAGCTTAAGACTATAGTGATGATTAGCATTCGATTAAACTCATATACTGGCAATAATTCAATCACTTTATCTCTTTAAAAAACTATTATTCATTATTTACCATACATTTCTCCGGTAAATTAATAATCATATTACATACTTTCTCTTTGAAATTAAATGCAAATGAATGAATATTTTGGGAATCAAAAATGCAAGAATAATTTTATCAGATATTTCCAATATAAATGCAGTTGTTTTTATGAATTAGCTTTAAAATCAACCGAGTAAATTTCGATTTATAATCCGTGGGCAGTTAGAGAATATATATAACATGTTTTTTTAATAAAATAATACATCATCGCTCATTACTATTCAGTATTATCAGTCATTATTGAACTTTTTGAAATGCAATAATTCATTTATTACCACAGCATATAAGTTAATTGATCAATATTTAATCATTTCAATGAAATATTTCAGGTCACTTGGAGTTTTTATTAATTGAAATAATATGATAGTGAATGTTAAAAAATTGAATGAAAAACATTTTAGTGTAATAATAATTATTATACTAATGTAATGGAGCTTCATTATCTCAAGTTTCATTTCATAACATCAACTACTGATTCAAAAATTGTTCGACAATAATAAATTTTAATAAAAATAAAAAAACTATTTTGCAATGATTTAGTTAGTAATAACGATATACTGTTTTATATGATAATAAAAACAAGTTTAATAGCCAGAGTAAAATGACATTTCAAAAGAGTTAATTGTTTAGTTAAAACAGAACTAGAAACATCCGTAGAACATTTTATTTATATAATGTTTGTAAAGAGGATATGGGCTTTGAATTGATATTAAGGTGAACAAAAAAATAAATTCACGTCGTTGAAATAAATTAGTTTACTTAGATTGCAACTTAATCTTCAGCTACAAACTTCTCTCTTTGTATCTTTGTATCTTAAACAAATACCAAAACGTGAGTAAATAAAAATGCTTTTTACAGCATGTTCTTTAATCTTGAAGATATTATTTTTGTATTAATCTACTGATACTATGACTATATATGGGTCAGGTTTCTCCCTATTACTCTCCCATGGACTTCCTGGTAAATATTTACCCTTTTATTTGTTTGTTTATTTTATTTAAAAATTTTTGATTCATAAAATTCAATAATTAAAATTGGAGGGTGTTGATCAACATGAGGAAATATTCAAAACTTCTAACTCCACTGTAGTCTACAGGCCTCTTATCACTACATGGTATAGTCAATTTGATAACAGATTACCGACATTCCGTAAACACTTTATCTATTATTTCTCTTTGTGATAACTATTTTTGAATTTAAATAAAATTCTTTGATTTGCACAAAGAAATGTAATAGAAGAAAATTATTTTGTTCGTTTATTATGTGCTCAAACAATTGTAGGTGCTTATTGTTATGAAAAAATTACATTATTATTTAAAATAACTTCAACAAGAAATTTATAAATAAATAAATTGAATTTTGCAGGTATTAAAACTTTTCATTGTCATTATTGATTTTTTATTAAAATAAAATAAGATTACTAGATATTTTCTCAAATAAAAATAATCTTATTTAGACACTAAATAAAAAAATAAAAAAATCTAGTTGGTATATTGACATCAAGTTCACCAATAAGAATTTAGTGACAAACAAAATTATTTATTTAAAAAAATTCTCGTAGAAAAGTTACACTTTCTGTTAATAAAAACAAATTCTCTTGAAGCTTTAATAAACAATCCTTGAAAAATATTTTTTTTTTAAATTAATTGATAAGAATGACCGTGAATAGAACAACATCGACGTGGACAATAGAGCTTGACTAAAGACTTAATGTATTTATAAAAGAGAAGCTGGGGCTAGCGGCAGTGGTGCGGCTTCAAAATGGTTGTCAAAGGCTTGAGAATAAAGTCGTTAAAGTAGTTAAACTCTACACAAATTCATTGTTTCAAGTGTTCCACAATGAAAGTGTTTTTATTATGTTCTGTTTGACTAAACAAAAGCTCAGCATATCTTTTGATTCCATGTGTAAAATTTATCTTTGATACATCAAGTGACAATGTTTGGTTTTTGGATTTTTTTAGCTGTTGGAACTTTGGCATTTGATGATGGAACTTGTGTTAAAAATCAAACCTTACTCGAAATTCCAGGAGAAGCTGTTTTTAGAGGTATATGATTCTTTTCATTTTTTGGTTATTCGAAACAAGTTTGTTTCCATTGATCTTTGATGATCAGAAAATCCTCGATTAAAAAAAAAGAATAAATTACATTAAATAAATAGTGAATTATTTCATGAATTGTCTATATCTATCTATTAACAGAAGACCTCATAAACGAGGGATATTTGAAGAAATATATTAAAAAAAAGTTGGTTTCAGTCTTCTTCAGAAAACCATTCAATCCGAAGTCAATTTCTGGAGAAAATTGATTCCATCAAAATAGCCTGAATAACTTCAATAATCTTGTGTCATATTTTAGTATTCGCCGATCTCAATTATGGTCCTTATTGTAATGCAACATCATCTAAAGGCTTCCAAGAATTGACGACAGCATTTTATATAATATCTACCTTAAGTAAGAACGATTACATTTCTGGAATTACACTAGGTATTTACTCTCTTAAGCTATTCTTTATTTATTTTCCATTAAACGTATCGTTCAACTGGCTTATCTAATAACTCAATATGTATATTTAATATATCATAGGTTTCAAAAATAATCGATACTTGTCAAGATTCAGCATTAGTCTTCAAACAATCCGTATCACTATCATCTGAATTAGAATGTGCAGATCAAACCTATTCTCTTGGAATTCTCGCTTCATCATCTTACACTTCAGTTCTTCAGCCATTCAAAGATTTTACTGATATTCCAATCATGTTCTATTCTCCTCAATATATGACTCAAACTTTGATAACAATTGCAGTTTCTTTTATAAGTTCAAGATTTAAATCTATCGATCTTCTGTTGACTGACTCTAAAACGACATTTGAAATATTTGGAAACGAAAGTGCAAAAGCTGGAGTCTGTATTAAGAGTTTAGTTGATTTAGAAGACAAAGATAGTGATCAAGAATCCCTGGTTGTTATTGCTGGTGATGAATTTTATATCAGATATTGGATGCAACGTGAAGAAGTCAAATCTATTCAAAAGACTTGGATCTTTATTCCTCTAGATTTTTCGGATATTCAGGGTAAGATTTTAATTATTTGTTCTAGAATTGAATCGAATAGAAAATAAATAGCTTTGACTTTTGGATGTATGTAATGCAGATAGTTGGTTCAATAGTAGTGAGTGAAAAGCTAATTAACCAGTCCAGTATTTAATCACAATAAGTATGGTAAAGATAGATAAACTCTTGCTATAGGTATTTCTATCTATTGATTAAATACTGATGTATGATCAACTACTGATAAAATTAAATATAATTGAGTCACTTATTAATTCATTATTAATTGAATATCAAAGTCAAAGAATAAGACTTTTTATTGAACCAAAGTTTAAGAAAATATTAAAGTCAGATCTATGAATATTTTATTTAAATGCTGTATTATTTCCATTATTGAATCGTTAATTTTAAATGTAATAAATATTTACAGATGTCATACCCTATGGTTCATTCGTTTTATCAACTGAAACAATTTCTGCTAAGTTGGGAAATCAATCGTGGGAAGGCACAGAACTGGAAGCTATTAAAATTTCACTGCCTTACTTACTTAGCATGGGGAAACCAATCATATCGATCTTTAATTTGTTTGCCAACTTTCAAAACCATAACTGTTCTTATGAATCATGTTCGTCATCATTTTTTGATTATCAAGCTCTGAAAGATGTCTCAGATTCCAGAGTACTTGAAATCCTAGGAATCCCACGTAAATCAAATAAAATTCGTGTTTCTATGATGGGAAAACTCGATCCAGAGGTTGAAAATGTTGAAGAAATAGCTTTTTATGAAGTTGATATGAACTCTTTAGAAATTTTCATTGATGAAAATAGACCTAAACTAAATTATTGTAATGAAAATGAAGCATGCAATGACTGTATTAATTTACAACATTCTGGAAACAAGATAAAAAATATTTCTAATCTAGATCCTAAAGACAAAATAATTGAAGGCATATACTTAATTAGAAGAGCATGGGTCTTTATATTACTAGTACTTATTGCATGTGGAACTATCATTTGTCTTGGAGTGAGTGCTTACATCTTATACAGATTTTTTACTGAAGAGTTTTTAGATGGAAACCCAATTTTAACATATTTTCTGATTCTTGAAGACATCTTTGTACTGTACTCAGTGATTCCATTCTGCTTAAATGGGCATGATCATGAAGAATATCTAAGTTCAATCAAGATATTTATATCAACTCTCTCGACAGCCAGTGTCTTTTCCACCATGTTAGCTAGGTCATTTTTCTTAGCCTTCTCAACTAAAGGGGTGTTTTCCAGCCACATAAATGGATTTTTGGAGGGTCTTATGGTATTTTTTGTTGTTGGTGTACAACTGGCAATGTCCACTATGTTTTTTGTTGTGAATTCAACAGCATCTGGAGATGTTTTGAGAAGTTCAGGATTTATTGCTTTGTTAAGTGAGTAAAAAATTGGTCAAAAATTATCAGATAACATAATTAATAATAAGTAGTGACAGATGAATGGTACTTGAGTAAAAAGTGATAATTAAATTTAATTAGTTTGTAGTTGTAGTCAACCAGTTGTGCGTTGAAACATAGTTTTCCATTAAAAACTCTTCAGTATAATTTTATTTCGGTTAGCTTGATTCAATGTTGTTTATTTTAATTTCGTAATCATGCAGAAGTTAAACAAATATAAGCGATAATAAATTACAATTTTAACATAAAATGAAATAACAATAAGATAAATAGAATGAAATAATATTTATCAATTAATTAATCAAAAGCTGTGGAGTATTTAATTATTCATATTCAAATTATTATCAAAACTATCGGATAAAAGCCAGTTGAAAAAAAAATTTGTTTTTATCTCTCCAGTTATAATGTAAATATAAATAATATAGATGTAACTGCAGCAAAGCACGTAATATTGATTATAAGTTCATTGCCACCCATTATAGTACTAACTTTAATCGTGATTTGTTTTCCAGGCTACAATATTCTACTTTTATTTATGCTCCTTGGAATGTCAAGTCTGGTTTGGAAAATCCCAAGAAATTATTGTGAAGGAAAATGTTTCTTCTTCACAACAATCGCACTTTTAGTGGACTGGTTGATATGGATTGGAACATTTTTGCTAGTTAGAGCAGATTGGAGGGACATCATTGTAGCATTTGGACTAGTGTCAACTGGGTACGTGATAATTGGAGGGCTTTTTATCACAAGAGTTTATTACATGGTGACACATTTGGAGAGAAAAAATACTGTAAGGACTCATTTTGAAAATGCTGATTTAAGAACAGAGCCTCGAAGACGTTCATTTAGACAAGTGAGTGATTGTGGGTTTATAATAAAAGTACCTAATTTGATAATAAATTTATTTTAGAATGAAGAGTATCAATAGTTAATAGACAAAATAGAATAAATATCCATGTATATACCCAATTAGAATTTCCTCCCATTGACCTCGTGAATCTTGGGGCTTCTTTCATATAATAGGGGATTTAAAGTACTTGCTACAGTCAAGGTTAGAAGCTTCAATGTTCTTATGCAGCATGAGCTTTACTTAGTTCGTAGTCTTCCGCATTACAGACGACACGACGGCCTTTTCACGACTACGTGTTACCGATGGAAGGTGTTAGAAATTCATCGGGGAGATTTCCAACAGCGAATCCTAATTTCTACGGTAGTTCTAGTCCTCAACCTCATGAACAACCAGACAAGATTTTAGGCTTTAATAACTATGGATACCATTCTGATATTCATGAAGAGAATCACTATGTTGTTCCAAATGTTCGTGTTAATACTTTAAATGTAAGTAATTTCATTACTGAACTACGTATATTTGAGAAGCATGAAAAAAGTTAAGAAATCATTTCTTAATATTTAAATTAAGAATTTAAAAGTTTTAACCATCATAAATATAAATTGTTAATGATGTTCTGAAGGCAGTGAAAAAGTACCGTAAAAATTTGAAATCAGTTATAAGTTAAATTTACTTTTAAACAATTCCAGAAGTTTCTTGTTAATTAATTCTAAGAAGTTAATACTATTAAGTGGGAATTGATTTTTTAAACCTCTTCAAACAAACGTAGTTCACTTATTTGATCACTAAGTAAAAAATATTTTAATTAATTTTTTTATTATTTACTAGTCTCAGAAAAAACGAGTAAAGATCGAGTCTGATTACGCACAGCCAACATATCCTATTCACGATGAGGAAGATTTTGATCGTCGAAATGATAGAGATTGTATTGAGACTGAAATATATGTTGAAGGAAATCGTCTTTCACCTTATAAAAAAGGACCAAATGAATCATACCCATCACGATGTTCAAGTCCAAGGCTTCATCCAACAGAAGCGACAATTAATGAAGAGGAAGAGGAAATTGAAGAGATGACTAAAGTAACTCGCTTTTAATATAAAATAACATCTTTTAATAAATATAAAACATTTTAAATAGACTTGCAATCAATATAAGTGGCTATATTGCAATGGTTCTTGTCTTTAATGTAAACGAGAATAAAAGGACTTTTCTCTAACAATGATTGAAAGTGATGATTTAACGCGATTGAGAAATTGTGTTACATTGTAATTGAGCAATCAGGACGCAGGTGCAAATATCTGATCGTTAGATATGTGTGAACGGTGAAAAACGTTTTCTACATTTTTGCAAATTATTTTGAAATATCTTCGAATATTGCAAATATTTCTTTTAAATAAAATTAATAACTCTATTTTTGTTTTGTTTAAGAGTTATTTCAATTTTAGCAGTATTAGAAATGTAAAAACATTTTCACTGAATTATAATAATATATTTTGCAAAACTGAATGGAAATATTTACAAATAAAAAATTATAAATATTCAATTTATTTTCATAAAAAAAGTACTTGTACTTATTGTTAGATATATAGTTAAAATAGTTTATAAAGAGTATATCTGATGCTTGATGCTTTCTTCTGTTAAGATATTATATTTAAGTAATATTTAGAAATATTATTTTATTGAAGGAATATATAAACTTAGATATGAAAGCAACAAATAAAATTATAATTTTTTCAAAGAAATAAAAAGTATTATTAAAATTAATAAATGATGTTATAATTTTTTTTTCCAAATATTAGCTGAAACTCATGATCTAAATGATGTGGAAATTCTCCAGTGATGAAAGAATATGATTTGTGGATGCATTACTTCACACTGAGAATTGAATGCGTCAAAAATGTTTTTCCAAACGATGGCTTTGAAGAAATATATACGGCCTTGAGGCAACTTAGTATCCTCATGTGGCTGTAAAAGATAGATAAGTTTTAGATCATGAAATAAATCGAAAAGCCCGCTGATTCGTGAAACTCTTCTTTTCCCTTAACACTCATGGTTTCAAGAGTGTCTATGGTTTTTGCGAGTCTGCGCAAAACTAAGCCCTATAAAAGGATATAAAGGATGTTCACATCACAAATTCTTTCAGTTTAAATGAACTTTTAAAACGACTGTAAAGTTTTTTTCATTCCCTGATGATTTGACAATTTTTTCTAATTTTTTGTATTATGATAGAAAAACCGACAAAAATGCGGATGGTGTTGGTGATTGTGGTGTACCTCAGTCTTTTTTTGGATAACGTTTTATTAACAGTAGTTGGTGAGCCGGAATCTCATCTATTTTATGTCGCATAATATGATAAAAAAATAAAAGATTACTTTTTGAAAACTTTTTTTTCAGTACCAATCATCCCAGATTATCTTTGTAATATTTATAATTATAATAATTCAACTTCTAATAAAGAAGACGATGAAAATGAACGTGTTGGTTGGCTACTTAGTTCTAAAGCTTTGATCCAGCTGATTTTAAATCCAGTGGTTGGAACTTTTACCGAAAAGATTGGATATGCTAAGCCACTTTTATTTGGGAACCTTAGTTTACTTTTAGCTGCATTAAGTAGGCATTACTTACATACTAATAATAATAAGTAATCTTAAAGTAGTTTAAATAGTTGGAAATATTTATGTTCATATTGGGGATAAAGTTAGGGAAGATATTTAAAATAATGATCACCAACATAATTGAATATATTCCTTTATAGTTTTCGCTTTTGGCAGAACCTATGAATTGTTATTTATGGCACGAAGTATTCAAGGAGTATCCTCTGCATGTATTGGAGTATCCGGAATGTCGTTAGTAGCGTCGCAATATCCCGATGAAGAAGAAAGATCTAAAATTATGGGATTTGTTCTGGGTAGTATTGCCCTGGGCGTTCTTGTTGGTTATCCAATTGGATCTATTTTATATGACATTGAAGGCAAAGAAGCTCCTTTTCTACTGATTGCATTATTAATTTTTTTGCCAATCTGTAAGTACTATATTTTTTACAATTAATCTATAAAGAATAATTTTAAATGATTCATTAACGTTTTGAATTTTTTCTCTTTATTTATGAAAAAAAATTAATTTACTTTACTTTGATTCATTATTATGAATTTTTATTAATGAAGCAATTTAAAATCCTTTTTAATTCACTCAATAGCAATAAACATAACGTGTGTAATAGTGTGTTGTAAGTAATCTTCTCGTGACACTTTTTTATAACTTATTTAAGCTGTTTCCATATCACCCCAGGATCTCTTTCATATTTCATTATTATTTAAGTTCCAAGAACTTCCCCTTATTTTCCTATCTTGCTTTTGATTGGTACAATAACACTACTCCAAAGTATCGCTTGCTAACTTCATTTAGTTATCTACACTTGTCACGTAAAAATAATTTAAGCTCATCTATAATGCATTTTATATATTTTTGCCATTAATTATGAATTAAATCTACGTTTAAATCACAATGAATAGTTTTTACTTTTGTCATTTTTGTTTTATATATTTATATATAAATTCATGTGATGATGTCGATTAATAAATAGCAAATTTAATATATATGAAACAAAATAGTCAATTGTGATGATTTTTACAATATTTATTCAACTATTTGATGATAATTTTATTGATTAATACAAAAATAGATAATTAATAGTTGTTCTATTTTTTTACTATTAGGTTTACAAATGTTGAATGTAAATATAGATTTAAATTCATCAACCATCGAAAATACTTCTCATGAAACTCACTGGAGATCACTTCTGACTCGAGGAAGCATTATCATTGTCGCAGGAGCTATTTTATCATCGACCATACCTATAGCAATTTTAGAGTCTTGCCTACCAATTTGGTTACGATCACATATCAAGCCTAAGGTAATGAAATCCCTGTGGTATTCATGTATAGCCATTATTGAAGGTAGTTAACACCACACAATATTGACTTTCTGATGAAAGCTTGAGAGAAGTTTAAGTTAAAAATGCTTAAGTATTTACTGGAAATTATTTCTGAAAAATTATTAATTAACATTATGTGATTTTATTAGTGAATTGTTGATGTTAATAATATTAATTATTCATTGGCAAAGTTTTAATAAACTAATATAAATTCCATTCATTTGCTTAGAAATGGCAACTGGGAATAGTTTTCATCCCAGACAGCATTGGATACCTTTTAGGAACAAATTTCTTTGGCATGATTGCTTTTCGTTATGGTAGATGTAAAACTGCAGTGTTTGCAATGATGCTCATCAGCATTAGTGTGATCATCTTACCATCAGCAATGACAATGTCTCAACTAATTTTTCCTCATCTAGGAATGGGTCTAGGCATAGGCATTGCTGATGCTGCATTAGTACCGCTTTTAGCAAGTTTTGTCGACCAAGATGGCAACTATGGACCTGTTTATTCGATACAGCAGATTGCAGTTAGTCTTGCTTACTCTCTGGGTAATTTTATATTTAATCAGATTTGTTTTTTGCATATCCTGAATAATGACAGTTGATTACAACATACGTACTAATCAATGCCAGGAGATTGAATTCATTTGATAAAATTTATCGAGAGTCTTATTGATTTGTTTCAGGTCCCATTGTTGGGAGTGAATTGGTGAGAGCAATCGGTTTCCAATGGGTAATGAGAAGCGTTGGACTGATCAACCTTCTCTACTGTCCTTTCTTGATTTATTTAGCACTGACAAGAAAAAATGTCTTTTTGAATACTAACAATGATAATAATAAAAAAGAATATGACTCGATTAAGACTGGGTTTGAGTATAATAGGTTTCATGATTCTGATGATGATCTTTGAATAGGTTATTTATTTTATGCTTCTATTGTTCATTTTGTTTTTAATAAATGAATACATTTAATTTTATCAGTTATTTAATAAACAACTTTTGTTTTCTATTATAAAAATTCCAGCTTTTCAAAATAAAGTTGAATTTAAAATATACATTACATTCATTAAAATGAATATTCATTAATTATAACTGAATATAACTGTTCACTCTATAAATCCAATTAATATTAGTTGGGTAAGTTCTGAGGTTGTTAAAAAGCTTGTTCATTATGTTGAAAAGATTACTTTCCTCTACTTTTTGTGAATAAATGTACATATACACCAAAATTTTTGATAATTTTTTTTTGCTTATAAGATTATTAAATAGCAATTGTGCTTTAGTTGGTAAAAATATTATAGGTAGAAACTAGAATTGATTATTTAGTATCACGATAAATTTTAAAAATAGCTTTTACATAAAAAAGACTTCCAGGCACTTAACTTTTTTTTTTTAAATATGATAGTGCCTGGCTTAACATTGAGGTCATTACAATTTTTAATTTGAAATTAGAATCAATTAATGATGGCGCGTGACAAGTTGCATTTAAGAAAGTATTGTGTAGGTTAGGAATAATTTAAGGAAATCGTCTTTAGCAAATTCAAAGAGTAGGGAAGAAGTAGAAGTGGGGCCAAAGGGAAATAGTGGTTTGAGTGAAGCTACAGTAGTGGTTTCTAATAAGTAGTAAAGTGGCCAGAACACAATTTCAAAGTTTATGAGGTCACAGACCACGCAGTGGAATTACTGATCTCAGTATATTATTACAGAACCTGACTTTCTTTATTGACAATCTAATTTTAGAATGCATTTGGAATACTGATAAAGTTTTTTGGAAATTTTAAACTGAGTTTCAAGTACCTACAAAAATTGCAGATAGGAGTTTACCTTCAGTCTTATCATTGTTAGTGTTTTCTTCAAAGAGCTTCATTAAGTGTTCATATAACAAAGTGAGATGAAGATACTTAAGGGGATAAAAGCAGCGTTATTAAAAGTGGAATTTAATTTATGATAATAGTTCTTATATAATATTCTGTAAAATCATAGACAATAAAAATTAATAAATGAATTGTATAATCGATTGAGATTAGATATTTATATTAAGAATAGTGATTGTGATTTTGAGCTTGCCTTCAATCAATAACTCATTTGTTATGTAATTAAATTAAGAGAAAAGATTACACGACATTCCAATAAGACGATCGATAATGAAATTACTATTTTTTATTGCTTCCCAATAAATTTCAGTATATCAATAAATTTCGCAAAAATTATGAAAATAATGTTTTATGGACAAACATTAATCTAGATGATTTATGAATATAGAAAGATAACAATAACAGTTGTATGAAATAATTATATGAATTTCCTCCTTTAACAATACCCCTACCCTATGATATAGATTCTTAATGGAAGTTTATTTATATTTTTTTTTATGAAAAGAACAAATAAAAAAAAATTATCCCTAGAGTTGTCAAGAGAAGATGAGAAAAAAAAATCATCATAATCACAATCTCAACAGAGAGTAAAAAAAATATCAGCTGATCTATTGTAGATATTTCTTTTGTAGTTTAAACAAATACAGTAAAAGCTCAAGAAATATTCAGAATTTTTGTCATTCAAGGTAAGTTTATATTCTGCATCACATACATTTCACACAGAACTATGATGGTCTTCCACAGGTGGAATATAAAAAAGGACGGATCTTACACACTTGTTAAATTTTATATGACAGAACATAAAAAATACTTAGTTATAAAAATAATTATAAAAACTTAATAGTTCCTGATATTATTGAATAATGTTTAATGAAAGTGTAAAAAATCGATCAATGTCAATTCATTTTCTTTTGTGATTTTCCAAGTGTTGACAATCATAATTTAAAAGTTTGACGACACTTTAATAGGCAATTTTTTTTTTTTTAAATAAAAAATAAAATCAGTTGATCCTCAATTGTCCCAATTAAATGAATGATTAATTGATACTCCCTCTTTTCCTGAACAAACAAATAAAAAGAATTTTTTTTTATTTTAGATGAATGTGCATTCTGACAGACTCAATGAAAAAAGAACACACTCAGTAGAATGTACAATATATCAGTATCAGCAAAAGTAAAAAAACATGATGATAAAAAAAACTACGCCACAAAATAATATTAACATTATCAGCGAGTTAATAATATAATAAATTTATTTTTGATTTTCACAAAAAAAATAAAAGATATTTTTTTATATAAAAAGCTTTTTTTCGCTTATTGAAACACCTTCAAAGCCGCTACTACTATTAGAGGTGACCAAGCCATGTAAGAATAAGCATCCTCGTTGAAAATTCAAGTAAATAGTTCGCTCTCTCTTCTATCTACCATTTCTCATCATCCCTTTTCCCTTCCTCTTTTCCGTTAGCCTTCTGTTCCTCTTTCCCTCCAAAACTACCACATCAGCACACACTAGGGGATGCTGGCTGGTCCGGGACCACACTTCACCGTATCGATCTTTACCCTACCAACGTACTCCGAACCAGCCAAGACAACACAGTGCCACAGTCGATTCCACACACACATATACATACTTCCACTAGTAGAACGACAACGAAAGCTCTCGGGCTTGCTCTCTGTCTCTCAGCCCCCATCGCATCGCAGCCTGGCTTTAGTAAGCTCACAGCTTTCATTCAGTGCACAAGTGTTGAATGTGCTTTTCTGTATCATCAACATCCAACCCAACTACGGAGTTGCTGCATTTCAGACTTGGCTTTCTTTAATCAATTGCTCTAAAATAACTTTAAATATTAAAAAGCTAACTTCTTCCAGCTAAATTGAACGATAAGTTGAAAGCAATGTTGAAATTATTGCAGAAGAATCCATTGAAAATGAAATAAATTCAATAAAATGAACCGTGTATTTAGAATCAGTATCAAATGTGATGATTCTAACAATTGATGAAATGATCCAGAGTGTTAGAACACGATGTAATATCCCCAAGGTCATACGAATCAGACCGGAAATGATGGAAATTGATAGTCTACTATGGTAGTGTTTTAAATTACATGCTGGATTGATATTTATATTAGCTCTTATGAGAAAAAGCTTACTTTCATCACTTTAGTGTTGTTGATGCTGCAAAAACGGTACTTTCTGAGTAGCCTCCACTTGACATTTTTTTATCTTCAAGATCTGCTTTGTCTGTGTAGAAGCATGGGTGAGTAGCTTTTATCAAACCAAAATGCCAAGCCTAATTACCTGATGTGAAGTGATGATGATGTAAAATGCAAGTTGGTCAATATTTATTTACCAAATTGCTATTACAAAAATATGTTTCGGATATATAATAATTCTGCATCATCAGGATTCAAGCTTTTTTTTGAGCTCAAGTTATTTCTTTACGTGAAAAATTTCATTAAGAGATGATATGGAAGCTGAAAGTGAGGTTGATGAAGATCTAGATCCGGATCAAGAGGTAATAAAGTCTTTATTTAATGTCCCTCATAAAATATTGATGAGTATTATTATTTTATTTTATTACTTGTTATTTAAATAGAATTCTGTTTTAGAGTAATCACAAAAATTCAAATTGGAACTGCACGATGAAGATTTCGATAAATCCACGGTCTTTAGAAGCGTCGGAAAAGAAAGAATGCACTTTAGTGCAATCATCAAACGACTTGAAGGATTCAACTAGTTCAGAATTGATTTCTGGGTCTCCAAAATGTGAATCAAATGTAAATTTAAGTGGAAACATTAAGACTGAACTGCACGACAATGAGATGTTTAAATTTTCTAAAAATAAAAAATCACCCTGTCCTGATACAATTCATGAATTCGAAGAAGATGGTCTTACTATGGATAGAGTTTGCAAGTAAGTCGAATGTTTTATTGAAAATAAATTTACAATAACTTTTTAACATAAAAATATACCATTACAGATATCTAGAATCTAACCCTGCTGTAGTAGAAGCTTGGTTTCGAGAAAAAGCCAGTCCTGAATTGAAAATGAAACTTTTAAATTTAAATCCACCACAAAAATCAACTCTAAATGTTCAACCCAACGTACCGGAGCATGCTCTTGTTCGCACTAAACGCAATAGTGTGACCTCTGACCTCTTCCAATCGTGGTTAGCATCAAACTCCCCTATCAAAAGAAATAGAAGCCCTAACCGATTTCCAATGTCTCTATCTGGTCGAAGAGAGGAATTAAATCAACTAGATGAAGGTGAACTGTTCATGGAACTTATTAGAGATGTAGCTAATGAACTTGACATTAATGTACTTTGTCATAAAATACTCGTCAATGTGGGACTCTTAACCCACGCAGATCGTGGTAGTCTTTTTTTGGCTAAAGGGCCCTTAGAAGATCGGTATTTAGTGGCAAAACTCTTTGACGTTACTCAAGATACTGAACTTGATGAAGCTATGAAAAAAGCTAAGAATGAGGAGATTAAAATACCATTTGGTGTTGGAATAGCTGGATATGTTGCACAAACCAAAGAAGCTATCAATATCAAAGATGCTTATAAAGATCCAAGATTTAATAGTGCAATTGATATGAGAACTGGATATAGAACCAACTTAATCCTTTCAATGCCTATTTGTAATTATGAGGGTGATGTGATTGGCGTAGCACAAATCATCAATAAAACTAATGGCAGTAATGAATTCACTGAACGAGATGTTGAAGTATTTCAGAGATATTTAACATTTTGTGGAATTGGGATACAAAATGCACAATTATTTGAACTTTCTGTCCAAGAGTATCGTAGAAATCAGATTCTGCTGAATTTAGCAAGAAGTATTTTTGAAGAGCAAAATAATTTAGAGTGTTTAGTAACAAAAATAATGACTGAAGCTAAAGAATTACTTAAATGCGAACGCTGTGCAGTTTATTTGCTAGATTTAGATTGTGGTGAAGCAGGACATTTGGAGAAAATTGTTGAAAGACCTGGGAAATTTATTCAAGAAGCTAGAAAACCTCTATCAAGGAGAGAAGTAAGTTGAAGAATAAATTATTCAAAACTTCTTCAACTTGACAAATCTGTTTTTGTTTATAGAGCAACAATATTGATATGGAAGATATCTTGATGAAACAGGTAAGTAAAAACAACAAAACAATTGATGATAAGTTTTTGAGTTTATCATTAATGTATAATTCCTTTAAATTAAGATATTACTATGATTGTTAACACCACTGCTAACAGAAATGCATTTGAATTTATGAGATAATGAATTATTAATTTCACAGAATGGTTAGATTTCGAGAATTATGAAAATCAAGAGAAATTATTAATTTAGAGTACTTTAATAGTAATATTTTTGAAAGGACATTTAGATGATGATATTTGCATCCTAAGTTTTTAAGGGCAACCTTTATTTCTTTTTTTTTATGAGTAATTATCAAAGTTTGATATTTAAATTTACAAGCATCTCATGTTTTAAATGATTCAAAACAAATGAAATTCCATCAATCATTTGCCACAATTCAATAACCAAAAGATCAACTGTAGTCGAACAATAGCAGAAGAACTAACAAAACATTTAATCGAATAAATGGGATTTTTCATGCTTAACAGGTTGGGTGTTTTATCAAGGGATAGAAATATTTAGTATCAAATAACAGAACTTTTTGCTTTAGTAATTTGATATTATGTTTCAACAAACAAGTCTAAACATTCGATTATTAGATTGGCAAATAAATTCTTTTGTTTTCATAATCATTTTTTCTTTTAATTTTCTATTTTCACTCAATTTTCTTTGATTGGACAATTATTTTCTCTTTTTTTCCTATGAATAATTCTGATTGCCAAAAAATTCCAAGATTAATTGTAAAAATTTTGTTATCTTTAATAGTTTATCCTAAAATAAATTTTATAAGAATCTTTATTAGTCATTTAATACAAGATTAAACACTCTCACTTTAAAATTAGTCGTTTAAACTCTCTCATGTCTCATGAGGGTTTAAAGTATAGATGAAACTTAGTTACGTGGGTGATGAGGAAGAGGGGAATACTTCTTACTTTGAAATGAAATTCAATCATGTAAAATATAATATTTCTTGAAATGTGCAAGTATAATACATCCGGCAAATAATTATACGAGCTCTCAATTTTCTATTCGCTCTTGAAAAACAATAGAATGTAAAATAAATCAATAAATATAAATACAAAGCTATTAGTAGTAATAATATACTATTGAAAAATGATTTATTATTTAAATAACTATTAAATATTATCAAGTCTGTCGTAAAAATAAATACTGTAAAATAATAGCATTTTTTGTGCTTTTTCGGTTAATTGGAATTTTTTTAATGAATTACTTTACATTATAAAATATAAAAAATTACTTTTATTTTTTCTAACAGCTTCAAAATGCGAGTTAAATAAAAATAATAATTATTCAGAGTGAATATAATTTTAATCCAAATATTTAAGAAAAAGCTTTTTTATACTTCTTACTAAAAAAATTTCTTAACATTTTTTAATGATCAAAATAAAATTCTTTTATCGTCTTTGAGTGATAATTATGTCACTTTAGTAGAGACTAATGAAAAGACGGACCAAGAGACAATCCCATTATTCTAAATAATATAATTTTAGACTACTAATGATGGAAGTGCCAAGTTCACGATGATCTTTGAGATGGAAAATGGAACACAGGAAGCCCGAGTAAGCAGGCTGACTACAACTGACTTATCTAGTCCTTTAGGAAGGATAGCAAGGTACGTTGCTAGCACGGGTCAAATTCTGAATATTGGAGATGTGGAAATGTGGTTGAAGAAAGGAGTCTTAGACACCGGAAAGGATCCAATCAAGAGTATCCTCTGTATGCCTATAGTGAATGGTCAAAGGAGTGTAATAGGAGTTGCTCAGCTCATCAACAAGGTCAGTGAAACAAACAATCAAATAGTATTTACTATTCTTAAGATAGAATCAACTATTTAATAAACTATTTCATCACTAGGATAATGGAAGTTCTTTCACTGATCCGGATGTCTCAATTTTTGAGGCATTCGCAATCTTTTGTGGCCTGGGAATTCACAATACTCAGATGTATGAATCCGCGTGCAAGTTGATGGCAAAGCAAAAAGTTGCACTTGAATGTTTAAGTTATCATGCAACAGCTAGTAACGAAGATGCATTGAAATTGACAACTGATGTGATTCCCTCAGCAGAAAAATACAATTTGTACAGCTTCACATTCACAGATTTTGATTTGAATGATGAGGACACTTGTCGTGCTACTATCAGGATGTTTCAAGCATGTGATCTCATTCACAGGTTTCATATACCTTATGATGTCCTTTGTCGATGGACTCTGAGTGTTAAAAAAAATTATCGGTGAGTTTTTTGTTAATATTAAATATTCTATTTAATAATTAATTTAGAAGTAAGAAAGCCTAGTATAACACTTAGATAAATAAATCAATAGATGCCAATATAATAGACAATATAATATAATACCATTATCATTGTAAACGAATGGTGTGGGTTATCTTCTCTGAACTCACTTTGTAGTTAAAAGCAATAAATTTTATTAAAAAATTATATAAATCCATTCTATCATGAAAGCTTCATAGTCAATGACGTACTAGTTTCGATTAAGTTATTTTTTGAAAAAAAGCTTTCCATTATATTTTGCTAAAAATAGCTTAAAAATATTATGTTAAAGCACATAAAATGACTTTTTTCTCTATTGATTTATTTTATCCACAGTTTACAATAAATTTCATGTAATTACCAATGCATTACATCATTTATTAAAACACTTTGTTATAATAGATTTTTACAAACAGCTTTTGTTGCAATAAACCATTGCATGATTCTAGTTGGGTAACAATAAATATCAAAACCTCAAATGTCAAATGGAATTTTTAATTTCTTTGTTACCAATAAATAATGTTTGCAAAATAAATATTGATATCAAATTCCATATCCTTTTAGAGTATGAAACGTTGAAATATACTTCAAATTTATAAATGTCAGTGACATTTAAAAATGATAAAATCACTCTCATTTTAAAACTGTCATATTAATCTGTCTAATATTTGTCCATTCATTAGATTTATAATGCCTGTGGAATTTTCATGAACGATTTGAGATTGTTGAATGAAACGAACATTCATCTCGAGAGATGTTGAAAAAGTATTCAAGATCATTTTTACACGAATTACAGGGGTGGAAATGTAAAAAAATTTCGTTTTTTAAACTAAAAGTGTTCTTTCATGTGTAAATGACCTATTGAAAAACAAACAAATTGTCTGATTATTTTTTTCTCAATTATTCTTCTGAGTTGTTTTTTTCGATTATATAATTGTTGTGCATCCAGCAATAGAACATCCGAATGATGTGACATATAATTTTTTTTGTAATTTCACCGGAGTTTTTTTTGCAAAAATAATTTTTTCGTGTTAAAGTACACGTATAAAAAATTTACAACTCTAAAAAAAGACCTTTTATTCACTCTATCAAAAGCACTTTTCATAAAGTATGTTTATTTATACGTGAAAATTCACAAAGAATGAGATGAATGAAGTTGACATAATTTTTTTCCTACCATAAAAAATCCTAGCTAAAGTCATGTAGGATTAATTATATTCCACTTAATGTCATTGCAAACGATTTTTGTCAAGTAATGAAACTTGACTGAAATAGTAAATAGGAAGAAGGAGGTATGTCGATACGACTAAACCGTATTAAACGTAATTAAAATTCTCTTTAATAGCGATGCAAAAATTTCCATGTTAAATTATAATTGAATGAAAAATAATATAGATAAGAATTCTTTTATATTTTTATCAGTTGTTTGCTCTTTGCGAGAAACTTTATCATGATAAACATAATTTACGAATAAATAACAATCATAAAATACAAGTTTGATTAGTTAGTGGGTTGTGCTTTAAAGTTTTGCTCTAACTTACCTCTCGTAGAATGGAAACTTAATCAAGTCTTTCACCAACTCCCTTCGTTGTAATAAGTATCATATTCAGATTTATTTCATTGATCTTGTCTTCGTAAGAAATTTATTATTATTTAACTTGTCTGAAAATGAGAAAATTATAAATTTAATTAAAGATAAATTTTGTAGGGGTGCTTTTATTTCTTTTTTTTTGATCATTTTCAATGAAACTATTTTTAAACAAAGGTAAAGTTTTAAAAATAAAAATTCCATAGCTTTAGGAAGCTTCTAATCAATGTAAATTTTTTAAATATTCGAAGGGATTGTAAATTTTTGTATAAAAATACTCAGTATTTTCTTTCTTCTCATGAAAGTCAATTAAATATTTTTTTTATCTTAAAGCATTTATTCCAAATGAAATCACATAGCTCAATAATGATTCACTAAAAAAAATAAATTGGAATCCACTGATAAAATGTTCAAATGATGGTAGTTTTACCCATCACATATATTTACGAGAACAAAGAAAAATAAAATAATTTACGTTTGACAAGTTATGTCAAGTTAACAAAAAAGTAATTTATATGATGTGTATGCGACACAATACGTCTTGTCGTAGCAAAAAAATTAAAAACAATCTCCATTTAAATCAGTTGACTTTTTTTAATCTCTAAAAAACGTGAATTAACAAATAATAATAATAATAATATAAAAATTTTTATTTTATTAGAAATAATAAAAATAATAAACTAATGGCATGATAATTTTTTTCTAGACCAGTAAAATATCACAACTGGAGGCATGCTTTAAATGTAGCACAGACGATGTTTGCAATGCTGAAGACCGGAAAAATGGAGCAGTTCATGACAGATCTTGAAATTCTAGGACTTTTAGTTGCATGTTTATGCCACGATCTTGATCATAGGGGAACTAATAATGCATTTCAAACTAAAACTGAATCACCGTTAGCAATATTATATTCAACGAGTACAATGGAGCATCACCATTTTGATCAATGTGTGATGATCTTAAATTCAGATAGTAATAATATTTTTCAAACTCTCTCTATGGAAGACTACAGAAGAGTTATGAAAGTAGTAGAAAGTGCAATTTTATCGACAGACTTAGCTGTTTACTTTAAGAAAAAAAATAAATTTATGGAGTTGATTGAAGAAGGAGAATTTGATTGGCAGAGTGAAGAGAAAAAAGAGCGTAAGTAGTTTCAGTTGAATCTGTTGTCCAATATCGAGAATCTATTGTTTGTCAATAACTAAAAATATCACGTTACAAAGTGAATTTTTAATTGGAAAAAATAAAGAAAACTACTTAGATAATTTATTAAAATGATAGAATATTGATAAAAATTTTTTACTTAAGAACTAAAAATCAACTTTAAAATTTTCCCATTTTAGTACTTTGTGGGATGATGATGACTGCTTGTGATGTCAGCGCTATTGCAAAACCCTGGGAAGTTCAACATCGAGTAGCAAAACTAGTTGCTGATGAATTCTTTGATCAAGGAGACTTGGAGAAGCTTCAATTAAACCAACAACCTGTCGCAATGATGGATCGAGAACGTCGCGATGAGCTTCCACAGATGCAAGTTGGATTTATTGATGTCATTTGTCTCCCTCTATATAAAGTTTTGTCAGAAACTTTTCCTTGGATGAAGCCACTTTATGAAGGCACAGCAGAAAATCGAAGACATTGGCAGGACTTGGCAGAAAAAGTTGAAATGGGTCTTACCTGGATCGATCGTGATACTATTGAAGAGCCAGTTGAAGAATTTGTTTCTCAAGAACCTAAAGATATTGAATTTACTGTCACAACTTTAAATTGTGCTCATGAAAAGAAAGATATCTCTGGTTTAGCTAAAATTTCATCAGATTGTCCTAAAAATTCTCTTGGACGATTTGCTTCACTTAGAAAGGGTGGTAGATCACTTGGAAAAGGTGTCAGACATCGACTTAGTAGATCTCTGTATGCTAGAAGTAGCTCTGAAGATACTGGTAAAGTTAAAGTCATGTTGCCGGAAAGAAAGAATAAAAACAAATTATGCCAGCTTATTTGACGGCTCACGACTTCGAGTACTCTTGAAAGTATTCCCGAGTAACTCACTAAGAAATTATCGGTAAACTTTTTTAACTAAAAAAAATGATAAACACTGATAGTAAAAATGAGTTTAGGGAGGTCTAAGGGAAAACAATCGTAGAAAACGGAAATGAAAATTGATGAATTATTTGTTTGGAGAAATATCTGCTAGTTTTACTGTTGTTTACATATTTAAGAATGGTGACTTACTGTTGATAGTAGAAAAGAAATATTTTTAAATCAGAATAAATTGTTAAATGATAATGAGTTTTATTCCAAATCAAAATCATATTATTAGTGATGTTGATCTGAATAACTATTTGGAGATTTTTTTCAATTAATGATTTAAAACTATAAATAATAAATTTTATTCATGGAAATAATCCATTAGAGTGAAAATATTTTTAATTAAATTTATTTTTTAAAATCTCATGAACATCAAAGAAAAATCAAGTGGAAAAATGTAAATAGGAAGAGTGTAGAAAATGAAGAAAAGGACTGTTGACTACAATGTTGAATAGATTATTTTAATGCTTGTACCGTAAAAAAATTGGTGCATAAAGTTTGAAATAATACGCTATATTTTTAAAAGTGTAAAATATAAATTAGCGTTTGCATTCAAAAGATATACTTTGTAGGATATAAAAATGCCAGTAAAATTAATTTTTAAATGAAAAATGCTTTTAGTGACTACTATGGTTGTTTCCCCAAAAGGACCTTTGATGGATTAAAAAAAAAGACTTTGTGTATAGATAATTAGCTGGAATTTGTGATCTCAAAATGAAATTTTGACAAAAGAAAATGAAAAATAATTGTATCTTTGATAATGAAAATGTAAATTTCATTTTTTTTAGATTATAGAGAAAAATGGGACGTTGCAAAGATAATCTCTTAGATTTTAAAAGAGATCAAAAATATGAAATTATTGTATAGTCAATTTAGAAAGAAATTTTTCTAGATTGGTTATGGGTTTTTATTGTGAAGATCAAGATTTTGAATTTATGTATAAAGAAATTAACGTATTTAAAGGGGATTCAGGACTTCTATGAAGAAAAAATTCATATGATGATAATAATAAAGGAGAAAATTAATTCAAGTACACTTGAAACGAAGAAGTAATACTATTAATAATAAACAATAAGAAATTAAAATAATAATAAAAAATAAATAAAAACCAAGCAAGTAAATTAATGAATAAATACAATGGGTGAATAAGTGAAAAGATTTCTAGTCTTTTGATATAAGTAGAAAATAGAAATAATAAAAATGCTATTGTCAGTAAATAAAAGAACATTACTGCATGAAATTAAAATGAACACTTTGATGTAAAAATTGTAATTAATTTAAGACAAAATAACTATGGTAATTGATTAATGTTATTCAATTTCATTGATTGTTTCTTTACACAATAGTTATTAGCTTGTTTTTAATTTTAGTTCATTTTTTTATTAATAAAACATTTAAAAATTACAGAAGTATGAATGACTGATGGTCATTCTATTTTCAATAGTCACATTTTGCTTTGTTTTTACTTAAGTGTATATATATATAATATTTTTCATATATAGATAATTTTTGTTCCTCAAGTTTTCTCTACTAATTCATTACATTAAGTATAACAAATCATTCCTCTTGTAATTCACTTTATCATCATTGCATTATTTACATCGTTCCCAATCCTACCTTACATACCGAAAAATTTAGATAAATTTTAAAATTGATTTAAACATCGTTTTTTCAAAGAAGTTTTCCAACATTCATTCACTGAGAAAAATTTACATTTATCGTAAAACCGAAATATCATTCTCAGACTTATATATTGCAGCTAGAAAGACTACTGCGTCATGTTTAACGCATATTTGTTAATTTTTGTTGAATTACTTCAAGTTAAAAAAATCTCATTCACTTTATTCCTTAAATTATTTTACTCTTACGCTTTACCATCACTGCGCAATTTTTTAAACATTTCCTACAAACCAATCCAGGGAATTTTCCTTTTAAAACGAAAACATAATAAGAATATTAACACCGAAGTAAATTTCTATAAAAGAAAAGAAACGTCGCAACTTCATTTCATCATTTATTTACGGCCAGTTAACCTTGCTCTAATGAAGAGAATAGTTGGAAGTAAGTTGTTTTTTTTTTCATGTCATAACATGAAAAAAATGGAAGAATTATTTTCAATTATGTATTTACTTTAATGTCATGCCCTTTATAAATATAAAAAAACAACCTATTTTGCCTTTTTTTCTCATTGCACCTAAATAAATTATAAATGCATATTATTTCCATCTTTATCAACAACTATACTTGAAATTGTTGCGAGTAATAGAAATAAAAAAAATCACCTGAATATTCCTTCTGCTACAAAAAACAAAAAGATACAAGTATAGATGTACTCATAACATCAAAGATAATTATGCGAAATCAAATTTTTTACTGAAGTCATAAAAAAAAATATTGAACGGTAAAAAATTGAAAAATAAATTTGGGTCACATGAAAAATTCCGTGGATCGGCTTACATGCAGTCACGATGGTGGTCTATCTAATATTGAAATTTCTATAAGTCTTAAACCTCGAGTAGTTGGATCTGTCAATAAAAGTCCACGAGGCCTATATACTCTATCATTTTGTTCGCAAATAAATTTAGCTACTTTTCTCAAACACTTTTCATAGTGAGTTTCAGTGCAAATATAAATTAAATAACCTGTCAAACAAGCAAGACAACCTTCACAGTAAGTTGAACAGCTAGCTCTTTCTGCTTCAGCAAAATAATTATTCAGTTGATTGATTGTGTACTCAAAAGAATCTACATCAAGCTAAAAAAAATTTTTTTGATCAATTATTGGCTTTAAAAATATCAATCAATAAATAATTTATCGAGTAAATAATAACACATACTCTGTCACCTAATTCTGGAGGAAATCGAGTCTGAAATTTTACCATAGTGCCTTGGCTGTAGTCGCGTTGGATAAAAACCTTCATACAATTTTGTGGTGGCCCACCACCACCACCAGCTTGACCACGTCCAGCAGACATGTCATCTAATGGTCTTAAGGCAACGTGATTACCCTAAAAAAGACGATTTTTAGAATTCTCATTCATCAAAATGTAGTTGATAGTACGTCTATATATTGTAGACTATGAACAATACAAAATTAAATGTTGCAATAATTTTCTCTGAAAAATATTCATTGGAAAATAATCATAAACAAAACTAAATCTACTTACGAGAGGCATTTTGAGCTTCGTCTTGGTGTCGTGGGTGGGCCAATTGTCAAGATAAAGCACTAATGTTTAATGATAATTAATCCACATTAGTCATTTAATTACAATAATTGTGAGTTACTATATTTGGAGCTGTACACCCTGTCAAATCTCAATCGAATTAGATTTTTTTTATATGAATAACTGACAATAATTCGCAAATTGTGAAACGCGCGATTACAAGAATAGCGTCAGCAGAAACACGAGCTGGAAGCCATTAATTTGTTACTTGCGTGCCCGAGAACAAAGATGGCTATAGAAACTCAATACATAGACACATGAAAACAGAATTATAATCGGCTCCAAAAAGAAACGCGTGATGGCGCAGTTTGAATTGTCGCGCGCGTATTTTAGAAAATAAAAATGACTTATTAACCAATTATTAACACCATAGCCAGTTTTATGAATTTATTTATCCTTCACAAAAAATTTTTCTTAAACTGATATTCATTAATTGAATATTCACAAACTTATGTTATGATTGATCTTGAAAAATGTTAGCTAATCGTAAACTTTTGCTTTGAAAATTAATTATTTATTCGCATATTGATTATAAAAATAATCATTCTCTAACAATTCACAATCATTCCTAAAAATAAAAAAATTCAACCTATTTCCAATTGTCGGCCTTTTCCGTTTGAAAAATTTTACGAATCCTATTTTATCAATTGTTACACTTACCTTTTAATATTTATCGACTGAGCAGTACAATCGATAGAATTGCTAGTTATTGAAGAACCAAATTTTGAAAACAATTTTAAAATAATAATTGATCATGATGCGCAGTAATTTATTATTGTGCAATAAATTACTATTATATGTTCTTGTAGAAATAAATTTAAGGATGAAAAAAGATAAAAAGATTATTAAAAATTTATTTCGACAGTGAAGTATCAGGTCCAATTTAAATTCATAGATAATAGGATATTAAGTAAACATTAATTAGATCCCATATTATATTTGTTTGAAATAAGCACGATTCTGATAAATATTCATTTATATCATAAATAACCTTAAATATATTCATTGTATTAATAAAATTTGATTCAAATTTTCCTTACTTATTTATCTTGATTCTTATCTCAAGCTTTTCATTATTGAAATAAACAGTATACATATATCACTCGTTCTCAATAATATTCAATTTTAAAGACATTACAAAAAAACTATTACAAAAAAAAATCCGTACAATTTATCCAAATAACTTGATTACCATAAAAAAAATAATCAATACAAATAAAATACTGCACTTGTAATTGATTGGAGTTATTCAGAGAAATCGAATTATTTCTTTTTTTTTATCTTCTTCAATAGATATTGGCTTTTATAACATCAGTTATATTAATTTTACTTCTCTATTTACAATACTCTATTTTTTTGTACGTATCATTGAATGAAATTCAGATGTAACTTCATTAACGTGAATTTTTATGTATATATTTCCTATTTATAACATTTACTTATTGATTTTTGTGTGTATATTTAGATTTCATTAATGACAGAATTTTAGATAGAAAGATAATTATAGCTTTTTATAGTTCAAGTACAGACATGATAAACAATAAGTATAGAAAACAATAACTTGATTCTTTCAAATAATGTGTTATCATTATTTAAATATTTGATAAATTATTTTAATTAATTATCTATCTATATTGATTTTTGTTTTTTTTTTCTTTCATTTTCTAAAAGTAAGTAAAATTTCTTATTCGATTAATTTATTCCTCTAAATTGTTTATTTGATGTAGTTGGTTATTGAAACCCGGAAAATTCAACTGTAATAGTTACGGATGAGAATACAATGAAGAATGAGATGGAATCTTTGCAACAAAAAAGAAGGAAAAAAGTACTTTTCTATATATACGAAAGAATCTTAGATAACGTTAGAACGATCGATTGATTCTCTTCCTCTTCTTTTTTCTTTTCGTCCAAGTTTTAATTTTTTTTTCTTTTTTTGTTTAAAACAAACTTAGGTTTACCATCTAGGAAATAACTCCAAAAAAGCTCAAGTGTCTTATAATATAAAAAATTCCTACCTAGACATTGACAAATATTTTGTCAAAAGATTGATAAAAGTATAGAAATTGCAACTGAAAGTTTCTGAGTAAAGAATAAACTTTTAAAAAGCTCAATATTAGACAATCGATTATTCTGACATGTGAGATATTCCATTTTTGACAAGTAATAATGAATGTTTTGTCATCTAAATCACACCTGAGTCTTATGTCAACCTTTCTTTGTCTGTCATTGACGAAAATACTCCTCATGAGATACAATGTAGAATGAACCATGATTGAATGTATTGTTTTAGAACTACTATTGTTCTCTCATTGGAACGTGCACCGAATACGAATAAATTCAGAAACGATACTGGACATGAAATAAAAAGGATAAAATAAATTTAAACCAATTAATTTCTCTAGGGGAATAGTGTTGAAGAAAAAAAAGCTGATACATCTGAATTTAATAAGCACAAATAACATTTAATTAATTAAGACATCAAACTTTAATCTAAATTACGAAAAAAATTTTTTCAACATAAATATAATGAAAGTAAAACTGTAATACTTCACTTTGAATCGTCTGTAAAATTTTCTTGTAATTAATAGTCTGTTTAATATTTCCAGATGTAGAACATTAAAGCTTTAGCCTTGAAAGGTTTAAGAATTTTATGAAAATAGAATGAAGTAGGTTGAGATCAAAGTACCTTAAAAAGCCACGACATAATTGAGAGAGAATTGGATTAAAAAAAAACTTTACAATATTAATCTTTTAAGATTTTTACTTACTTAAAGTATTGTTTAAATAAAAAAAAGCAAAGAAATAGATGAAAAAAATTTTTTTTTTTAATGTTATACATTTTTTGGAAACATTGTAATGTCTTAAAGTTAAATAATACGCGCAGACGCCTTTCAAAGGATGCTGGAAGGGGTATGTATGGGTTTTCTAATCCTTGGGTGTGGTAGAGAGGGAGATGTGTGGGGGTAGAGAGACTGACAAGGGCTGCTGCGCGCAAAAGTATAAACCCCCTCGTCGTCAGCGTGACACGAGAACCGGCAGATTGTTTAGTGATTCACATTGGACCGTGACACGTGCGTAATATAAATTATTAAAATTTAAAAAAAAAAACACCGAAAACAAGGGTGTAATTTATGGAATAATTTAAAATTAAATGAAATGATTAAATAACAATAAATTAAGATAATTAAGGACAGTGATGAAAAATAAATTAATTGTTGTGTGAAGACAGCAATTTAATGAATTGTTCATTAATTACTATAATTATAATGGTAGTGTTTTGACAAGAATTTCCGGTAGTGATATTAATTGAGGAAGTGAAACGAAAAAGTGATTTAAGAGAATTAAAAAAACATTGTTGATGAGAAATTTAACAAAGTAAATAAATAAATAATTGTAACGTGGAAGTACATATTGATATGAAATTCAATTTTGAACTTGTGGATAAACAAATATATCATCAAATAAATAGCAAATAGGGATATTGTAAACATTTTGAATTTTTTTTTATGAGTATAGTGATAAAATCGCCGAAAATCAAATTTTATTTATTTCCTTTATCTGATTCCCTTTTGTCATTCTTCTGCTGACGATACAGATTCCATAATTAATCCCTGTGATTCCCCTAGATGTCTTGAAAATTTATTAATCCACCCCAACGAGTTTACTACATTTAGTACCTATTTCTACAAACGAATTTCAAACGAAAAAGTCTTGACCGAGTTTATGATAATATTTAATCCAGTTATAACTTAAGGGTGGTAGTTTATGTAGATGTGAGGTCGAGGGCTAAGGAGATAGAAGAGTGGAGGGAGAATTGAACCTCGTGGTTGTTGGTATCTCAATATGTACTCAGGCCATTGGTCACGCTAATCCAGTTAAACATCAACTCTTCAAGCTTGACAGTCTACTTCGGCTTCTCTTCATTTCTCTCAACTTTTTACCTTTCTAGTATTTTTTTTTGTCTTTACTTCGAGTGTGAAGATAACAAGACCTGTTTTCAAGTGCCAGTGCTAGTGTAGCGGTTTCCTCAAGTGAACTCAATTTTAGAAAGAAAATTTATTTTCATGACTCCACATGGTATTTTGGTGCTACTACGATACTCTAGTGTTTGGAAGGATAGGTGGAGAAAAAACATACATTGGTGCTTCTACATGAATTAAAAGTGTTCTGTTTTATTATTCAAAATCAAGTAGAAAATTTTAACAAAAGTCCCATCAATTTAGTTGTAATCCACCAATTTAGATAGAATCTTTCAATTCTCCGGGTATTCCTGAACTAGAATGTGAATAAGTAGACTTATTTAGGTGGATTAATGTCTTAGAATCAAGATCCAACGAAAAACCAAGAGGAATTAAATGAAAACGTTCTTTCATGTTAAAGTGTTTTATCTATCAACTGGATTCTCTCGTAGAATAATGTATCATCATTATCATCATCACTGTTATTATTATTATTAATCTGAATAATATCATCAAGAACAATCATCAAAAGATGGAACATCAAATGAAAAAAAGAAAAATCTGCACAAATAAAAGAGACCAGTTTTAAGTAATTCTAATTAACAGTTTCAAAGCCTGAAGGTGGCGAAAATCTACATTGAATTGAAGGAATAAGGATGATGGTGAGAAGGTGTGTCTGGGTGATTAGACCCTTTGACGTTAAAAAGAAGAAATGAAGTTATCAGTGTCGGCTTACAGAGCCCAGGCCAGCGCCCATAAAAAGATCCTCAGCAGCTATCAGCATCAACTTAGTTACGGTGCTACTACACATCAGAGTTCCTCAGCCCGGACCCCCTCAGATACCGCAGCGGTCCTCTCTGGTCTTAAGGTAAGATTTTTAAATACATTTACCCATTTATTGCATTTTTTTGTGGCTTAGCTTGGTGTATTATCATTCATCCTTAAATCACACAAGACTATCCAAGGATCAATCTGTTCTAGTTGTCTACCCCAATTCGCGAATTCGTTTCCAATTATAACTGACCCACATGATGATAAGATTTAAAAAATACTCATCCAACATCACTGACATTTCTATTGACAAGTGTATAGAGGATATAATAACCACCAAAATATATTTAGCTTTCCTAAATTTATACCAATATGTCTGTCATATCTTATAACCAATTCTGACGTCAACAGACTCCAATTCCCATTCAATAGTATTTCTCATGGATAACCATGGACAGAATACTTCTTTTTTCTAGTCTTTTTACCCTTC